AGTGATTCCTTGTCCCATCTCTCACAGACATCTCCGTGGCCAAAGAGCTGAACTGCTAGTTCAAGGAAGTATTGATTCGACTTTCATTCGTCAATTTCTGGTTCCGTGCCAGGGTTACGCACAGGTATGTTGGCTCCATGTGTGGAGTAAAGCAAGAGAAGTGACGAAGTTGTGTGCGGCGAGCAGTGCGACCGAAGCTTCGAAGTTCGTAGCAGAGATGCTAGTCTCATTTAGAGAAGCTGCATCAACAGCCGACGGACCTAAAATGCACCGCACCTCAAAATGTTCCGGGTTTCTATCAACGACACACCATCCTCGGCTCAACGCTCCCTTCTCGATCTTGATCACCGCCACCCTTATGGTCCAAACAATAGGTGGAATCTGTAGTTGAGTTTGGAGAAACACAAAGACAGGACCATGGTACCGAGCTTCTCGGCTGCCTCGTCCCCGTCTCCACGCTGGTGTCAGCTCATGCTCAGTCGGCATTTGCATCTCACAAGCTCAACCGAACCAAATGCCTTCGCCGAACCTGCGGTACCTCATCCGATTTGTACTATCCCCAGTCTATCTCAAATAGTCCGTGCGACTAGCATAGTCATTTGTTCGCCTGTTCCTGCTTCGCGCTCAAAGTCCACTCAGGCACCACTGATCTTTGCCTACCTCTATCGTAGTGATAGATCCACTTTCCGTCCCAAGTTCACACGCCAGACTTGCCCCAATAGTTGCCATCAACACCATAGCCTGTCAGTTGCGCTCGAGTAGAGAAAGATGTACATCCGAATCAAGAACCCTTGCAGTCGCACGAGAAACCCGTTCCTCAGCAGGGACATGATCGTCGACCACACACAAGGATGTGTTATCATTAAAATGGATCCTGCGTGGATACATCATCTGTGTGTCCATTCGGGCGTTTTCCCTGCAAGAGCATACAAGTACGAAGTATCACAGAGAGTAACCCCAGTTCAATATTTCAGGGTGTCTTCATGCACATCAACAACTTCATGCGTTTAATCCTGTACATGTGATTGACTTGCATTTCATGATAAGGATTCAAGGGCATGTTACTCTGTACAATCCTCGGTTCTACACACCCACGAGCTGTCCACGTTCTCTTTACACTGCCCGTGGTTGTTTGTTCTGATTGCGCGGCGATTCGAGTTCCAGACTCCGTAGTGGATAGCAAGTCTTGTTGCAGAAGAGGAAGGTCAATAAATTTGACGTGGGCTTTCACACCACGGTGATACTGAACGGTTTGGAAATTTGGTATTGCTGCTCTTAAAGGCTTGTACCTCCCGTCGAACAGGTTCATTGGCCTGCAGTTTAATGTTAGGCAAGTCACGGTCAGTAACTTTGGTATTCCCAGATTGGTGTAATAGAAATAGCTGAATAATATGCAGGACAATCATTGTGTAGCATAGCACAATAACCATGGCTCCATCTGCCATGCCCACCAATGGCGAAAGCTATGATCATCCATATGCACGACTGGGAACGAACCTCAACGGCAATGGTAACAGCAACGGCCACAGCAATGGCATACCAAACACCAACGGTGCTGCTCCCAAGAATGCAGAGACAGTTCCCATCGCAATTGTGGGAATGGGTTGTCGGTTACCTGGAGACGTGAAGGGCGCAGAGGAATTCTGGGAATTTTTAGCCCGTGCAAGGAGTGGATGGTCCCCAATACCAGAATCGAGATTTAAGCATGCTGCTTTCCATCACCCAAATCCAGACAAAGAAGGCTGCTACAATCCTGAGGGTGGTCATTTCATTGATGAAGATGTTGGCTTATTCGATGCGCCATTCTTCAACATAACGGAGAAGGAAGCGATCTCTATGGATCCGCAGCAGAGACTACTTCTTGAATGTACATACGAGGCGCTGGAGAATGCTGGCATACCCAAAGAGAAGTTGGTGAAACAAAGTGTGGGTGTTTATGTCGGAGGCTCTTTCGCAGATTACGAGCTCCGGAATTGTCGAGATCTTGGTAAGTTGTCTGATCTGCATTTACCCGCCGCTCCTGCTGCATAACGTGGTACTGACTTCTGCCAGATACCACTCCCGTATTTCAAGCAACCGGCTGTGCGCAATCACTCTTGGCGAATAGGATATCATACTTTTTCGATTTTGCTGGACCCAGCTTTACGGTTGAGTGAGTAACAACGTCAGGCCCTAATGCAGGTCAGATACTAACCTTCATCCCCAGTACGGCTTGCAGCTCTTCCTTGACCGCCCTGCATTTGGCTTGTCAGAGTTTGAGGACTGGCGAATCAACATCAGCGATTGTGGCATCATGCCATCTGAATATTCTTCCAGATTATTTTGTGACGAGTAAGTCTGCATCCTACATCCGGCCACGTGACCATACACTCACCTCGTTTCAGTGTCTATGTCCAGCCTTTTCTCAGATACAGGAAGATCATTTGCATTCGATCATCGAGGTACTGGGTTCGGCCGTGGAGAGGGAGTTGGCTGCGTTGTTCTGAAGCCTCTTGACGAGGCCATCAAAGCTCGTGACTCGATACGCGCTGTAATTGTCGGTACCGGAGTCAATCAAGATGGCAGAACAAAAGGAATTACGATGCCGAGTGGAGATGCTCAAGTCAATTTGATGAAGTCGGTCTATGAGAAAGCCCACCTGGATGCAACCCTCACAGGATACGTCGAAGCGCACGGAACGGGAACAAAAGTCGGAGATCCTATCGAAGCTAAAGCTTTACATGAAGTCTTTGGCAAAGGAAGGACTCCCAAGCAACCACTATTCGTTGGCTCAGTTAAGTCAAACATCGGACATCTCGAGGGTGCTAGTGGAATTGTTTCTGTCATCAAGTCGGCGATGATGTTGCAGAAAGGCTTCATTTTGCCCAATTACAACTTTCAGAAGGGCAATCCCAAGATTCCATTTGAGGAATGGGGCTTGAAGGTACATGTCCCTCAATCCCTCGAATTTTCTTGTTAACACATTCCTAGGTTCCTACCACCCAACGACCATGGCCCCGTGGCAAGAAATACATTTCCATCAACAACTTCGGTTTCGGAGGTGGAAACGCTCACATCGCACTCGAGAAGGCTCCTGCTGCTTCAAAAGGCCTCATCGAAAGAACAAACGATACACTAGCTACTGGTACGAAGTCAGCCCCAAAGAGAATCTTCGTGCTGTCAGCAAACGATAAACCTGCCCTGCAAGCTCAGATGAATGATCTCACGGTCTACCTTGAGCAACGTCCTGAAGTTTTTCAAAACTCGTTGTTGCCAAATTTGGCTTATACTCTTGGACAAAGACGATCTGTGCTTTCATACAAGATGGCTATTCCAGCGAGGGCATCTGCGGAGCTTATTCCAGCTCTTGCTAGCTCAGACACAGTTCTATCGCGGGCTACAAAGGAGCCCAGGATCGGATTCGTCTTCACTGGCCAGGGTGCCCAGTGGCATGCAATGGGACGAGAGCTGTTGGATGCTTATCCAGTTGTCGCAGCGACGATGGAGAAAATTGATAGGTATCTTTCTGATATCGGTGCCGATTTCTCTATGATAGGTCAGACATTCTATTACATCAAAACGAAATGAGCTAACAAATGACAGATGAACTTTCTCGAGATTCTGAATCTTCGCGAGTCTCCGAGGCACATATCAGCCAGCCCGCATGTACTGCGGTACAATTGGCGCTGACTGATCTGTTGAAGTCTTGGGGAATCAAACCAGCTGCAGTAACAGGCCATTCGAGTGGAGAAATTGGAGCTGCCTATGCTGCGGGTGCCTTGTCTCTGGAGTCCTGCGTTGCGATTGCATACTTCAGAGGTCAATCAATCATCAGCTTGAAGCGAGGATTTCCTGAGCTTAAGGGAGCAATGATGGCCGTAGGCGGCAGCGCTGAGGAGGTTCGCCCTATGATGAAGTTACTCAAGGAAGGCCGTGCTGTTGTGGCTTGCATCAATTCTCCTTCCAGCATCACAGCTTCGGGAGACAAGGATGCTATCAATGAGTTACAGAAAGTCATCGAAGAGAAGCAGATGTTCAACAGGAAACTCCGTGTTGACACGGCCTATCACTCTCATCATATGAACTTAGTCGCCGAAGAGTACCGAAACTCAATCAAGAATGTCAACCCTCATCCTTCAACCACCACAACGTTTCATTCATCTCTCCTTGGACGACAGGTCGAGACAAGCGAATTGGGACCAAATTACTGGGTTGAGAACTTGACTTGTCCAGTCCGGTTTTCCGAGGCTCTTCAAAGCATGTGCAAACCCATTGACGGAAGCACAACTCCTGGCGTCGATGTCCTCGTCGAGGTCGGACCTCATGCCGCTCTTGAGGGACCGGTCAAGCAGATTCTAAAATTCCTTGGTGGCAACGCTACTAAGCTCCCATATGCTTCTGCTTTGCTCAGAAACAAGGACGCTGTTGATACCACTGTGCATCTGGCTGCCACTCTGTTCACAAAAGGTGCTCTTGTTGATTTCGGAGCGATCAATTTTCCATTTCCCGGTGTCAAAGCCCCTGAGCTCTTGACCAATCTCCCAAAATACCCTTGGAACCACTCTACGAAATTCTGGCATAGTTCGAGAATAGCAGAGAAACATACAGACAGACCATTCGCTCGCAATGATCTGATCGGCACGCTGGCTTCATATAGCAATGACCTCGAGCCTACCTGGCGCAACATTATAAGGGCAGATGATATGCCATGGGTTCGTCACCACAAGATGCAATCAATGTCCGTTTATCCGATGGCTGGATACATCGCAATGGCATTAGAAGCTGCATCTCAACGAGCTGCTCTCCGCAACGTGGCTTTCGATAAGTTCGAACTTCGAGAAGTGACGGTCAGCCGTCCTCTCGTTATCAACGAAGGCAACGACATTGAAACAAACATCACACTCAGATCTTTTGCAGAAGGAACAAGAACATCATCCGATTCCTGGGATGAGTTCCGTATCTTCTCTTGGTCGAAAGACCGTAGCTGGATTGAACATTGCAGAGGTCTTATCTCCGTCGTCAAATCGGCTGACGGGAACATCGTCGATGGTGCTCAACAACTCCTCGACACTAAAGCAGAGCTGATTTCTAAAATGTCGTCTTTCAACGAAGCGTGCACGTCAGAAGTTAACACGCCGCTAATGTACGAGACCCTGAGCGAAGCAGGAGCAGGGTACGGCCCCAGCTTCCAAGGACTAGAGAACTGCCGCGCAAGCGACAACCACGCTGTAGCAGATCTCATCATCCCAGATACCGCATCCCTCATGCCAAAACACTACGAACCAGACTTCATCATCCATCCAGCTTTCCTGGATCAGTTCATTCAAATTGTCTGGCCGATCTTTGGTGCTGGTTGGAAGGGACTTAATGTTCTTTACATGCCGTCTTTCATCCAAAGTATGTCTTTGTCCACAGGGATTACTCGCAAAGCTGGCGATCGGATGAAGGTTTTTGGTACGGGAAAGCCAACACCAGCGCATCCTATTCCCACCAAGTTGAGCTTGTTCGCTACTTCGTTTGAGTCTGGAGATGAAGCACTCATTTCTATGAGTGATTTGGTCATGACGCCTGTGTTTGCTGGAAGTGACGCTTCGAGCTCCGCTGCGAATAGGGAGTTGTGTTATAAACTGCAGTGGGAGCCGGTACATGCTGAGCATCAGGCAAATGGTGTTGAGGAACATGATGCGCATATCAATGGCATCAATGGCGTCAATGGTACGAATGAAACCAACGGCGTCAATGGCTCACATGCCACAAACGGCACGAATGGCGTTAATGGGACCAATGGGACGACTACGCCTAAATTTGAGACTGAGGTTGTCATTATCGGCGACGAGACATCTCAGTCGTCCCTAATATCAAGCGTCAAGGACCTCATCACCGACTTCACTCACTCATCCCCAACACAAGGATCACTTGGTAGTGTTGCAACAGATGGCAAAATATGTGTCGTCTTGTCCGAACTCGATCGCCCTGTCGTCTCAAGCCTGAACTCAGATGACTTCCAAGCAGTTAAGAAGATGCTGACCGGAGCTGCTGGTGTCCTCTGGGCTGTACGAGGAGCCTATACCGATTCTTCCAAGCCAGATGCAGAGATGGTCATTGGCATGGCACGAAGTGTGCGCTCAGAGACTCTCCTCAAATTCGCCACGCTCGATCTTGGCACTACGCCTCAGCTGTCCAACACTGGCACCGCAGATAAGATCTTGGAGGTTTTTAAGTCTTCATTCTCTCCCGATGCACCAACCATTGGTGGAGATATGGAATTCCAGGAACGCGAAGGAAAACTTCTTGTCCCACGAGTCGTCGAGGATCTGGATATGAACAAATTCGTTCATCAAGAGACTCAGCCTGTTGCTGCTCCTGATCTCCAGCCTTTCCACCAAACAGGTCGTCCTCTCAAAATCGCTATCGAGACGCCAGGAGCTCTAGACACTCTTTACTTCACTGATGATCTCGCTGTCGGCACCCCGCTTCCTGACTACGAAGTCGAGATAGAAGTGAAAGCTACTAGTATGAACTTCAAAGATATCATGATTTCCATGGGTCAGCTGCCAAGCAAGTACATCGGCGTAGAATGTGCTGGTATCATCAGTGCCATTGGAAGCAAGGTGACGGATCTCCAAGTAGGTGATCGAGTCTGCGCCATGTCTGAAGGCGCTTACAGCACCTACACTCGATGTCTTGGCACCAGCGCGCAAAAGATCTCGGACTCCATGTCATTTGAAGATGCATCCACCATCCCAGTCATCTATTGCACAGCATATTACTCACTCTTCGACCTTGGGCGTCTGACTAAGGGAGAGACGGTGCTCATCCATGCCGCGGCAGGAGGCGTTGGTCAAGCCGCTATCATCCTGTCACAGATGATCGGGGCAGAGATCTTTGCTACAGTTGGAAGTGTGGCTAAGAAGGAATTCCTGATGAGCAAGTATCAGATTCCTGAAGATCACATCTTCTACAGCCGAAACACCTCATTCGCAAAAGCTATCAAGCGCGCAACGAATGGGCAAGGCGTCGATGTTGTTCTCAACTCACTCGCTAGCGACGCCTTGAGAGAAACATGGGACAGCCTCGCTCACTTCGGTCGCTTCATCGAGATCGGCAAGCGAGACATCACGGGCAACACTCGTCTTGAGATGGCGAGATTTGAGCACAACGCCATGTTTGCTTCTGTGGATCTGACAGTCGTTGCTGCTGAGCGGCCTAAGATCATGAAGAGGCTTCTTTCAGATGTATTTGATCTCATGGGTAAAGGACTTGTGCGACCCATCTCCCCGATCACGACATTCCCTATCTCTGATGTGGAGACGGCGTTCCGTACCCTTCAAGGCGGAAAGATTATGGGCAAGATCGTCATCGTGCCCCATGCGGAAGATCAAGTAAAGGCTGTTCCGAGAAAGACTCCAAACAATCTGCTTGCGGCTGATGCGACGTATGTGATCATCGGTGGAACCGGTGGTCTGGGTCGCAGCATGAGCAGATGGATGATCTCCAAAGGAGCTCGAAACATCGTGCTCCTCTCTCGCAGCGGCAGCGCCACTGGAAAGGTAGCAGAACTCATCGAGGAAGCGAAGAGCGTTGAAGCAAACATCGTCGTCAAGTCTTGCGATGTAGCAAACTTATCTCAAGTCGAGAAACTCATCAAAGAGGATCTTGCTTCCTTACCTCCAATCAAGGGCGTTATCCACGCTGCTATGGTTCTACACGTAAGTCAGCTCACTCCCACCCTTTGACCTCTAACCTAACGAACAACGTAGGACGTTCTCTTCGAGAAAATGACCCACGATCAATGGACCTCCGTAGTTCAACCCAAGGTCGCCGGAGCCTGGAACTTCCACAACACGCTCCTCTCCACCTCCCAATCACTAGATTTCTTCATCCTCCTCTCCTCCGCCGCCGGCGCAGTCGGAAACCGCGGTCAAGCAGCCTACGCAGCGGCAAACTGCTTCCTAAACGCCTTCGCCCAGTACAGACACACGCTCGGCCTACCCGCATCTTCCATCGACCTGACAGCCGTCAGCGACGCCGGCTACCTCGTCGAAAGCGGCGGCGAGCGACAGAAAGAAGTCATGGAGAATCTCGGCAGCGAGAGTATATCCGAGAAAGAAGTCCTAGCCTTGATCGGAGCTGCTATCACGGGCAAGATGGGCGATAGTGCGAACGGACACTGTATCACAGGTCTGAAGATCGCGCCGGAGAAAATGAACGACATATTCTGGATCTCTGATGCGAAATTCACGCACCTGCGTGAGGCGGCGGAGAAAGAAGCCTCTTCTCTCACCTCTGCTTCTGCTTCAGCCAATATCTCCATCTCCGCAGCGCTCAAAGCCTGTTCATCGCGCGCAGTGGCCATCGATCTCATCACCGAGGCGCTGCTGTCGAAGATCAGCGCCGTGTTGATGGTGCCGAGGGAGGAGATGGATGCTAGTAAGCCGATTGTGGTGTATGGCCTCGATAGTCTTGTTGCGATTGAGATCCGGAATTGGATTACGAGGGAGCTGGAGGCGAGTTTGCAGGTTTTGGAACTTTTGACGAGTGGTAGCTTTACTGCGTTGGCGGAGACGGTCTTGGGGAAGAGTAAGCTGGGAGTGAAGTTTTTGGAGATCAATGGGGTTGTGGAGGAGAAGTAGGGTTGAAGGTTTTGAAGGGTTTTTTGGTTGTTTTATACCTCTGGGATGAATTTTGGGTTTCTTTTGTCAACTGCTTAGCTTGATATCGCTGTTTATGATTGTTTCTCCTCCAGCTAGATAGATCTTCTGTTTCTAGGCCATTTGCTCCTCATAGTCAGATTTCGATGATAGATTGCAACATTTCCCTTTCATCCACAAAGTGTGTCCAAAAGCAGACACTAGGAACATACCTCAGGTTCACTCACCGGATAATCAATCACCCCAGCCTCATCCTTCCCGGCCCATCGGCCCAATCACCGACCCCCAACTCCTCTGTTGCACATCGCAAAAAGGGCATTCCCACCGAAAAAGGGCATCACAACGCCCTCGTACCACGCGGGAAACCCCGCGGCTGCTGATTCGTCTACTAAAGGAACTGTGGAGCATCGAGACGTGCAGGTGGGAGTGAGACAGCGATCTTTGTTGCATTTCGCGAAAAGGGCATTTTTGGAGGGCGGCCAGTTAGATGGGATGGCGTGGTTGGGGTGTGGGAAGGTGCATGATGATGATGTGGGCGGATTTCAGCCCTGTTGGGTTGGAATCCTAATGGAGATGCTCGTACATCTTGACTGTGGTCTTTGGTGATTGTGGTAGTGGTCTTTCGTTGTTAATAATTTGATAGTTTTTACGGACGATTGTAGATTTCATTCTTTTATTTCTACTTGACAATCAGGTGTTTTGCGCGTTGGGCGGGATATGTGCATATTGCGGGATGTGCGCAGAGTGCGCAAAATGCGCATATCCCGCTCAAAGCTATGGGGGATTTTGGAATTTATTTGTGAGGATTTGAAATTCCGGTCTACTTAAGTAGGCAAAATCTGTATTGGTAATACCAAATCTTGAGTTAGTTGACATGTGCTTTCAGGCGGCGATGCTTGGGGCATAGAGAAGAACTTGAAATCGGCCTCACGAGCACTGTAGTAGAAAGATGTCTCAGACGCCTGAGGATTGGTGGATGTTGATTTGAAGCTTAGGCCGTTGTGCAGGAGGCTTTTTTTTTTTTGAAGCTTGGGCCGCTATGGGTAAGGTATCTTGGTGGCCAACCTATATTGACAATAGTTCCTGAACAATAGCTTTTTCTACTAACATTCTTCAATACGGCAAAAATTCGAAACCAAATATCCGAAAGCGAACTGCTGATAACGTGAGCACTAGGTCCTATGGATCCTAGGGAGGCTTTAGAATCAGTGGTGACTGGAAGTGTCACTAGCGTTTTGAATCTTGCATCGAGCGCCACCTCGGCGTTCGTACAAGTAAAATCGTACCCGTTTGAATAAGAAGAATACGGAGGTAAAGCGAGACATGAACATGATAGAAGCTTAGTGCCTGAGCTGATTGCATATTACAGATAGCACATCTAAAATCCATTGCCGAAGACCTCGAAAAACGTCTCGACGATGTAATTAGCGACCTAGCTAAGTCTGAAGATACAGACCAACGACATATGGCCAAGCAGTTTAAACGCCAGAAGTTAGAACTGCACAGTGATGAAGCTAGGCAAAAGACCAAGGCTCACGAAAGATATATGAACCTCACCGAGGGCTTGATACAGATTTCGGACGCTGTAACAGGAGCATTTGACATCCACCGTCCGAACGAAGCCGTGCCGCAGGCGCAGACCCGGCAACATAGTGCATACACTGAGAAATATTGTGGCAGATGGAACGAATACTATTCCAATGACCCGCGAGACACTTCTTCGTGGGACGAGTGGGACGAGTGGGACGATATGATGACCGGTATTTGAAGAGCAAAGCGTCCCAAGTACGGACGAAAGGCTTTATGACTGATGCGCTTCATGCCTTGCGAAGCACCTCACCCGAGACGTTTGGCGATTTCTTAGTCTCATTGCACGCCGCTATAGTAATATGTAGTGATTATCAACAGCTCTTGGTAGCGAAACACTGAAAAGGAGATTGAAATTTCACACTGAAGCGGAAGGTTCAGAATGCTACAATAGATAATTGAGCCGGGAGATTGTTATTTCACCAACGTTTGATTGTGTGAAGGAGAGGGGAGCTGGGGCACGATGCAGGAGCCATGGTCTTCTAACAGTCACTAAATATAATCTTGCTCTATTGACGTTGTTCTTGTGTTTCGTAATTTTTACAGCATATTCGCCAACATTGGCCTATCTTCATGCAAGTGTTCAAGTGATATGTAGTGCAAGGATGAAGTGAGCATGGGCGTGTGGAAATAGGCTTGAATGTTAGCACTTGGGAAAACATGGGTCCAAGATAAAATCATTGAGTCTTCGGAAATGAAGCCGATTTCGAATTTTACTGTACAAAAATCGAAATGTTATACATCCATTCTCACCCCTTTACTCTTCCCGAGAATCACCACTCACAACTCTCCCCGTCTTCTCCACCGCCCTGTCCATCAACAACACTACTACCAGTGCTCATCGGTCTCGGTGTATGGGTTAATCTAGTTCTTGTCACTCTCCCTATAGGCTCGTAAATCAGCTTCTGAGCTACAAACATTGAGAATATCTGTCGTGCTGAACTATGCAGGTTGTTCCTTTGGTACACGCTCTGACGATTGAGGAGTCATGAGTGTAGTGTTTTGAGATAGTTCACGTACCTGTGCTTATTGACGGAGAGGATATTAAGATTGTCGACGCAGAAGAGGGGACGGCGAGAAGGGTCGTGGGCGTTGGTGTTGAGAGGGATGTAGAGAGTTCAAGGCTCGAGGTAACAGCGAGAGATGAAGAGCTCGAGGCTTCGATTGATGATCCGATTGATGTAGGCAAGGACGCCGATGTGCTAACGACCTTCACCACAGACGAAGTTTTCAGCGAAGACGAAGCAGCTGTAGACTTCGCTACACTAGCACTCGCACTCACAGCTCCATCCGCAGACGCAGTCGTACTCGCCACCCCACTGCTAGCCGGACTCCAGAACACAGCAGGTGTATACACCGGGATCGGGTCCGTAGTCCCATACCCACTGATGCCCCACGCTGGACTAGTTGGAGTCACAAACCCCGTGGGAGCAACCGTGCTCGTAACACTGGTAGTAAACGTCGTTAAAGACGCAGCTGTAGAAGTCCCTGCGCAATAGCCTGTCCCGTAGACATTCTTGCATTGGTTGATGACTTTATTTCCGTTCACAGTCCACATGTCGAAATCTTCGAGGCTGATATCGACTGCGGGGACAATGTCTGAGCCTCGGATGACAATTGCGCCTCGTTCGGCACCGTTGTCCATTGTTCCGGTCCAGTTGCTGAATGTGAGACTGCTGAGAGCGACAGCTCCAGTGTCTGGCGTTGTGGTAGATTCCCAGTACTGGTCGATCTCTAGGGCATAGGTTGTATCGTAGGCCCAGAAGTTTTCGAAGACAGAGTCTTTGACATATCCTTCTGCTCCTGTTCCACCGGGGAAGGTCTTGATCATCAGCATTTGGGTGCATTGAAAGATGTAGATGTTGCGCATGGTGATGTTTGATAGAGCAGCAGCATCAGAGGAATCGGTGATGTCCGCTGTCAGAGAGCCGATTGACATCCCGCCGCTTTGGTTGCAGTAAATGTCTTCGATGAGAATGTTGTTTGACGGCGATTTGACACTGATACATTCGTCTCTGTTGGTAACTTCGATGTCATGCATGTAGCAATTGTCGGTGCAGGTCACATCAACTCCATCAGTTCCTCCAAGGTCTGGTCCGCGAACGGTGATGTGGTATGCTTCCATGTTCGAGACTTCGTTGAAAACTAGGTGGAAAGTAGGGGAATCGACGAAGATCATGTCGTGGATAGAAATGTCCGAACAACTGATAAATCGGAAGAGTCGAGCGTTCTGTCCAGATGATGTGATCCGTTCAATGTATCCTTGTCCATTGATGGCACCAAGAGCATTGCTTGAGAAGACTTCGACATCAGAAGCATTCTCAATGACGATGGCATTGCCGTTGAATGATCCGTCCGAGGTGAGTGTTATAAGACCATCAATTTGGATGGCATAAGCAGATCCCCCGTTCAGAACTACACCAGTCGCAACTTTGGTGGTCAGTTGTATTCGTTGGAAGAAGTAGGGGTCGCTTACTGGAGTATGATCCTGGAGGAATATAAAGGGTAGCACCTCCAGCTTTTGCGCAACTGGTAAAGGCGGACAGGATCGCAAGCCCAATATCTGTGCTATTGTCGGCAACAGCACCATAGTCCAGGACGTTACAAATAGTTGACTTAGAAGAGAGCGGGGTAAGAGGTCCAACGGAGCTGGTATCGACTTCAGCTTGAGCAAATGATGAGAAGAGAAGAGAAGGCACAAGAAGTGCAGAAAGAATCCTGGAAAGCATAGCGAATAAAATGATAGTCCAGCACCGAGTGAAAGAGATGTACAAGAATGTTATAATTTGAATCAATGGGTTTGCTATCGAAGATATGAACGAATGTTAGGAGAAAGGCGTCTCCAGGCGCTGTAAAAGCAAACAATTGGCAACGAAGACAACCGCGAGCGATGAGGAGAGAAAGCATGATGGAAGCAGTGCTGAGGATATATGAGGCTGACCACTTGCGGAGAACTGACGCCTAGGGCCTCCCTCCTCGATGTTTAGGATTCATAGCGTCCCACTAATAGCAAGGCAAATTACATGGCACTGGCCATCATCTGGTCTGACAACAAGGAGAGGCTCCATGAATGTTCTGATTAAAGTTCTTTCCACGCAAGATAGTTCTGTCTGGAAATTGTGGGTACGTTTTCCATCAATCAGACGATGAGCTTTTGTTCTCGGGTCGGACATGAAGGATGTTTCATGTGGAGGGGGCTGTTCTAGTCTTCAAAGTGGAGATGAACCCACGTTTGTTAGATCTTGCAATCCAAAAATTCAATCAAAGTAGAACACGCTCAAGAAGATGCATTGAATGTAGAGATTTGGAGATTTGGAGATTGTTGATCGTAATGGGATCGGGGGCGAGAAAGTGCCTTGGTCTTCGCGAAGAGGGACTGTCTCTTCCTGGACATTAGAGACGCACTCACTTATCTGACGGACGTGCTGAAATAGCAGATCCGAGAGATGAGATGGATCGCCGCTGGGTTGATGCAAATCAATTCGAAACAATCCCACCAAAGCAAAAGATCCGTGCAAGAAAGGAAGAAAGCTGTCACATGACATCGCGATCGTGTGCCCGTGCCGCTTTTGTAAGATTAGGATCGCAGAGCTGCCTTCCCTCATTTCATTCATCAACACCATCAACAATTACCTCCTTTCCGAAACCTCGTTCACGACTCAACCTAGCCTCCACAATGCAGTCACGATCGAAAAGACTTTCAAGTGCGTTGGAAGCTTGGGCGGGGCCAATAACACGTTCGAAAAGAAGCACAAAGAATGTCAAGTCAGATCATCCAGCAGCAGGCAATCTCTCTCCAGAGGAACTTACGGCAGTACCTGCGAAATCTTTTCCCAAATTCCGAGAGCTGCCACTCGAGCTTCGAATCATCATTTTCGAGTTCGCGATATCTCCCGACACTTTCATCGAAGCAATCTTCCTCCATGGCGAGCACCGATTCCACGTCTCGTCACCAAACGCCCCATCTATACCTCCGACCCATCAGAAGTATTCAACATCTGCGCTCTTACCGATCTACCTTGAGCCATCTACAAATCTTGCTATGAAACGTCCTCTTAAACTCCCTCCAACTAAGCCTATTTACATACATATCAAGGACGTCCTTTACATTCCAGAAATCCATGCTCTAGACGTTACTGCCTTCTTAAGACGGGAAGAGAACCAAGCTATTGAGAATCTAGCTATACAAGCAAGCAGCGCCTTGAGATTGGGAGGTGATATCGACGACTCTGACTCCTTTTCCTACTCAATAAGGGCCTTCCGCGAGGGTGAACTCGTCCGTGGATTGAAGAATTTGAAGAAGCTATACATTGTCGAAGGTCCAGATCTGGGCAGAGAGAGAAGGCTGGTCCGGGATCCGGCGTACAAGTGGCGGTTCTCGTGGTCGAGGGTCAAAGAAGGGGCTGAAATGGGGAACACTTATGCCGGCATATTCAAGCGGAACTACAAACATGAATGGAATACAGGCGTTGCAGACTCGATCGCGCAGGCTATCGATACAGAGAGTAATATGATGAAACAACAGGGTAAGAGCTGGAATCCGCCAGAGCTGATATTTCGGGAGTTGAAAAGAACGTTGGTTGAGGCATGAGCGGCCTCTAATTCTTACATATCTCTGAGCCAGTTGAGGTACTTGTGCAGAACCTCCAATGACCTGAGTACACAACTTCATGCCGCCGTTCCCTCTATTGGTGAAGCTTGCTTTTCCACCTTCGACAGAGGTTTCCGATTTTCGTCCAGCTTCCATCTGTCCCTCTTCTTTCATATGCGGGCAGTCTGCCACGTCTACAATGCCCGGAGAAGTCTTCAATATGGAGTATACAAGGGGAAGATCCAGCTGTGCCTGCAAGTTGGTGCTGATATTCTGTATCAACAGCAGAAATCAGACACGGGAGCAGGTTGTGTGTGCTATTCGGCTATTCACGATTTTCATGCCCCCAAACAATTTTCTCTTCCACCGGTAAGCGGATCAAGCCTTGCTTGGCCTTGACTTTATAGTCAACCGCAATTTCTGCTCCCCCTTTCTTACTTCTTTGTGAATCCTCTCCCAATCATACAGGGGCAATATCGAACTGATCTATAGCCAAACTCCCATCAACAATAACCGCACCAATTCCACCACCAGTATACTCGCTATCATCAGCCTCAAGAACCTTCTTCCCTGCGATAGACCCAACAATCTTACTGCCTTCAACACGCACCGTCACATGGTAAGCAGTATCTAATTCCCACTCATAACTCGCGTTTGTTAACTCAATCCTAGATTCGTCCCTCGCCTTCACCAACGCTACAGTCTTCCTTCCGGAGCCAAAAACAAGGGCATAATATCTATTCAGCCCCTGCACCCTCACACATAACCCCGCACTCCCAAGATTGATTTTAAAACTCGGCACCGAAACCGTATAATCGATCCAATCCCTTGTCCCGGTAATCAGGTTCCCCTCTCCTCGATCCTGAGCTAGGAAGAATGATGAAGTGAAGAATTTGGTGTGGAATGTACTCAGGCTATCGATCCATACTCGTCTCCAGAAACTGCAAGGTTTGTCGGCGCCGTTGGGCTGGAAGGGGTCATATTGTGCGCCGGCAGGACGTTTGAGTGTCATGTGTGGTGAACCGCTGTAGGAGAGCGAGTAGAGACGTACGGTCCCGGTGAGATGGCCTATGGGGCAGGAGAGAGCTAGCCCGACCTTTTGAATTGGTTGACTGTCGAATGAGTCGGGGATTTTCCAGGTCAGGGTCTGTTGTTGGCCGGGTGAGAGAGTGGTCGAGGGGCCATCGAAGATGGATAAAGTATCTGCTGGATTGTAATGTTTCAATCTCAGATTTACTGAGACAGATTCGCTGTTCGAAGTGTCTGCGGAGAGCACTGCGGTTACTGTCTGTCCGGGAGAGATCAACGGTGATGCCATGAGATCGTATGTCTTCATTTTCACAATCTCGGGCGGTGTGAAGACTTGAGTAAGTACTTCGACAGGTTCAGCTGGATTGGTCCAGCCATTGAGATGAATTGCAAGACCCGAGCGATTCTGGTCGTCTGTGACTTGCTCAATCTTGACGCGATTAGGCGAAAGCTCGTACCTGGTTGCCACAAAGCCTTGCACGCTTCCAGGAAGAGAGAAATGGAATTGTGCCCCGTCCTTTGGCGCAGGTAAAGGCTGCTCACCCGCAATCTTCCGTCCAGTATTCACCAAATCGAAAGTTATCCTTGCTGCATCGTTGATAGAGTATCCCCCATCAGCACTGGATATCAAGGCTCGATCCGCCAACGGTCCACGCCAGTCAGGTCCATTTTCGAAGGTAGACAATCCATTCATGATCGCCACCAAACATCCAATGTTACCTGAGTTACAGTCCGTATCCCAACCACAAGTGTTAATGACATGCATCGCGCTATGGAAGTCATGACCAGCATATAGGAGTGCCATGATCATAATACCATGATTCGGTATGATGTGACAAACTCCCGGGAATTTGTCATAACCATAGCTATCCTCGATGCGTTGCCGAGTCTTCTCCCAGTCCTGGTCGGTCTTTACCCAGCCTCGGATATCAGCCACCAACTTGGTGAGAAGGGAGCCAGCTGGGACATATTTCAGTCCTACATCCAAGAGATGGTCGACGTCTTTGGATACGAAGGCTTCTGCCTCCATCGCCGCCCATAACTTTGCAGCATGAACGGAATCTCCATCATGGCTCACAGATCCTGCTGCTTCAGCTAGCTTTGCTGCCAGTGATGGATTACCAGGAGCTACCATAGCCCACCCATCAATGAAGATCTGAGCTCCAATCTGCTCGGCAATGGCTTTGCCATTTGTTTTGATGGACCCACTTGCTGGTGCCTTAATCCCATGCTTCAAATTAAGAAATGCCGTATGTTCAGTTGAGACTCCATTTCCACCCCACCACAAGATCGATTTCTTCTCAATAATATTATTGAGCCACGTCTTGCCAATGTCTTTAGAAGAGAGATCGAGGCCATGTTCTTCCAGCGCTCGGACGAAGACGAAAGTACCGGAGACATCATCGTCGGTCACGACGAGTGGTGCGTCGAATTTCTCGTGGACGTAGTGGTGGATGTGACCTAGTTGCTTTACGATCCGTTGATGTGTCCATCCTTCGAACGGTCGTCCGATATAGACCCCTATTAATTTGCCTAGGACGCCAGCATAGACTCTTTCGAGGTAATCTGCTGGGAGAGATGAGGCGGTCATTGTGGTAGAGAAGTGATGTCTGCTTATGAAGGAAGCTGTGCAGTCATCCACGCGTGGCGGCTAAGATACTTTGTATTCGCGAAGTTTATTTGCACCTATATTGTTGCTTGCTATCGTGGGTTGGGACTGTTCCTCTGGTCTGATGAAGCTATTGTTCGTCTGAGGGCTCTTGGCCAGGGGTGGGACACTTGTCGATTCTATCTCCCACTTTTGATTTACCTCCGGTATTGAATCAGACAAACAGCTGTTCTCTCGCGGAAAACTTGAAGGGCTCCGAGATCTATACGTAGATGCTGCGTGGACGTGAAGACCCGGATAGGCAATGATCGCCACCTCGTGAGTGTTCATCCCACTTTTGAACTTTTGTCAGGAAGCAATGCGGGGAAATTCGCAGCTGACAACTTCCCTAGAACTCAAGCTCACGTTGCATTGCCCTGTCCCAACGGTATGGAAAATGCGGGGTCTAAGACGAAAAACGAATGGTTCTTGGTGCCGTCCAACCGAATAACCCTAGATGTTGTCGAAAGGGCCATGTAGTCTCCGAGATATTACGCCAGATCCTCGATAATGATGGGAACAAGAACCAATTGAACGAGGCCCCACGGCACTATCAAAATAATCAGGCATAGAAAAGAAAGCTTTGTTGCTCTCTTAAAGCCCAATGTCCTCGCAATGTCCGACACAGCGGATAGATACAAGCGGAGGCGGGGTATGCAGTGTATCACAGATACGAATCAAGTTGTTCCTGGAGCGAAAAGCTCTCTTAAGCACGCTTCAAGGAACTTAAGTCTATAAAGCCCTCTTACTATTTTCCTTCTCCAATTCTGGGGCTCATTGCTACTCCTCTTCTGCACCACTTGCAATCTCTGGTCATTATTCACAATGACTACCACCCCGTCCGCGTTCGTTGACACAATCAACGTCAACGAGATCTCACAATCTCAAGGCTTCGATTCAGCAGCCCAAATCGCCACCGAAAATGAACATAACCTTAGCTTTCGAGAAGCGTTCCGCCGCTACCCTACAGCAGCGTTTTGGGCCATTGCCATCTCCTTCACAATCGTCATGGAAGGCTACGACACGATCTTGATGGGCAACTTCTACGCCTACCCAGCGTTCAGGAGGAAGTACGGAACATATTACCCAGACCTCGGCGAGTGGGAGATTGATGCTTCTTGGCAAGCTGCACTTGGAGATGCGGCTACGTGTGGATCATTTGTTGGATTGTTGATCAATGGTTATGTTACCGAGAAATTTGGACACAGACATGTTATCATGGCTGCTTTGGTGGTCATGTCGGCATTCATCTTCTTGCCGTTCTTTGCGCCAAACATCCAAGTTCTGCTGGCTGGTCAAGTGCTTTGTGGAATTCCTTGGGGTATCTTTGCAATCATGGGGTCGTCTTATGCTTCTGAAGTTTGTCCTTTGGCATTAAGAGGCTTCTTGACTTCTTTTGTCAATATATGCTGGGTCATCGGTCAGCTTATCGCAGCTGGTGTATTGCAAGGTCTCGTCAGCAATACTACGGAGTGGGGATATCGTATTCCTTTCGCCATTCAATGGTCCTGGCCCATCCCTCTGTTCCTCGTGGCTTTGTTTGCCCCCGACTCCCCTTGGTGGTTGGTCCGCAAGGGTCGGTTGGCGGATGCAGAGAAAGCCCTCGTGAGGCTTTCTTCTAGCTCGACTCTAGCCGAGATCAGATTGAAGTTGGCCATGATGGTGCACACCGACAAACTAGAGCAGGCAATGAGGACTGAGTCAAGCACCTTGGACTGTTTCCGCGGAACCAATCTTCGCCGGACCGAGATTGCTTGTATGGTGCTTGCTGCGCAAGAGCTATCTGGAGAAGCATTCGCTTATGGCAGTACATACTTCTTCACTCAAGCGGGTCTCAGTTCGTCAAATTCGTACAAGCTAAACTTTGGTGGGACTGGAGTTGCTTTTGCAGCAACATGCGGATCCTGGGTCGCGATGAACTTCTTTGGTCGCCGTACAATGATTATTACTGGCATGACGATAATGTCTTTGCTTCTCCTCATCATTGGCGTCTTATCGTACCCTGCAGTCCATAACGATGGAGCGACTTGGACACAAGCTGTTCTAACCCTGGTATGGCTGGGTGTCTACTCTCTCACACTCGGTCCACAATCATTCGCTCTTGCAGCTGAGATCTCGGCAACTCGAGTACGCTCGCAAACCATCGCACTAGCTCGGAACAGCTACAACGTCGTCCAAATCATCTGCAATACCGTTGAGCCGTACCTCATCAATCCCACTGAAGCAAATCTCAAGGGCAAGACTGCCTTCGTGTGGATGGCGACTGCGATTTTGACTCTCATATGGTGTATTTTTCGCCTTCCGGAGACTAAGGACTTGACTTATGAGGAACTTGATATTTTGTTTGAGAAGGGGGTCCCGGCTTGGAGGTTCAAGAGTACGCAGATCGATCTGATCAGGGAATCGGACAATATCAAGGGCACCGGTGGAGATAAGCAGGATATCATCGCTGAGGAGAGGGAGCATGTGGAAGGGTAGTAGTCATAAGTTCTGAGAGGTGGCTTGTTGATCAATGATCACCTCAATGGATATCTTGCGACGGAAGTGCACCTCACTAATCTATGTTAAGATTTTGTGATCCAAACTCTATGCTCTATAATCATATAATCCCTACAAATTTGTCATTCCATCAGATCCAGCACTTCACGCCCCCTCCAAGTCATTGGCATGAGGGATGGTAGTCTCACCATCCCAACTTCCAGCAAAGATAGCCTCAGAGGTGTAGTTTGCAGTAGGATCAATCCCAATGGAGATCCACATCAACAGACCCTTAGTGATATCTGTAGGATCGAGGTAGACGAAGTCCGGGAAAGGATCATAGCTATTATCAGCCTGATCAGGGGCCCACATATCATCATCATTCGAGACCACAGACTGTGTGTTGGTGCTGTAGGGGTAAGTCGCTTCCACGGCACTCCGAAGAGATTCATCGAAGAACAGCTGTCCGATGTGATTGATGTCTCCGCCAACGATGGTGTTGTTCGGGAGGACGGTGTAGTTGTAATGCGATATAACATGTTGGTGAGTAGCACGGCCAGCATAGTGTCCAGGGAAGATGGTATCGAAAGAAGCAACACCATCAGAATCGGTGGCTTGCAGACCTCGAAGATAGTCAGTGGTGAGGGAAGCCTCATTCCCGGAAACGTCGACGCCGGAATAGACGCCAGTAGCGTTTGCAGCCCAGACGTCAAGCATCATGTCTTCGACTCCTTCGCAAGTATTGATGTTCACGAACTGGAACTCGAGATGGACTGGCACGCCAGTCTGGTCTTCGGTGATGTTGGAGCGGATCAGCTCTCCGTGGATGTTGTAGGGACCAATGGTGACCTCAGGAGTAAGGATACAGGAGGAGCTTCCATTGGAAGAGAAGAGAGTCATTCCAGCGGTATAAGTAGCAGTGAGGTTGTGGTTATGAGTCTCGAAGTCCTCAAGTGCGGTCAAGTTTCGGCGGGTGAGGAAGGGTGTGGAGGTGCTGATTCCTCGAGCGGTGCGAAGCTTGTCTGCTTTGGCAGAACGGCGAGCAATGGCTCGTTCATCGAGTTGACGGGCTTTGAGAGTGTTTGAGCATGCTTCGAGACCACGTTTGGCCTTCGCTGCGAGGGCGTCTCGCTTGGTGATGTCGCGGCGGACTTGAGTTCGTGAGTGAGATTCGCCTGGGTGAGCGAGTGCGGTGGTCAGAAGAGAGGCGGTTGCCAAGCTTGTGAGGATTGTGTTGAGTTGAACCATGATGATAAAATAACAAGACCGAGCTTAGCGCCGAATGAATGCAGGATGAGGAATGAAAGACAGTGATGAAGCTGATGCGAGGTGAAGGATAACTGCACTCAGAGACGGTGAACTCTTTTATACAGAATCCAGAGCAAGCTTCTCTTCATTCTCCATGTATCTGCTAGACTTCCTTTGTTAGATAAAATTACATCCATCATCAGTACTCGTAGGCCACATTCGTCGACGACTGCCGATCCCTCTTGAATCGATTTGCTGTTAACGATGAAAACACGAACCTACCCACACAACAAACTTTCATGGAGAATAATTGTTCAGATGAACCTAGAACATTTTTTGTGTCTTCCAATGAAGTTGTAAGAGTTTGCAATTAGTTGCAAGGATATGCTTCGCGATTTTGAAACATGCGCAGCATATATACGCGTCTTTGTGGGTCTTCAACAGCAGGATATGAACCCGCTAAGAAATCTCCACTAGGATTGCGTATGTTCCGCCACTAAGTTCTCCACGATAGCAACTCAACAACTGAAAGCTCCACACATTTGGTGAGCGGCTTTGATCCAATCGCCAGGGTGCATCAAGTCTTAAGTCGGTCAGTCACCATGAAGAAATTAGAAATATACGCAAAAACTATTCAACGTCTGCTTTGCGCCAGTGTGACGCACTCGGTAGAGAATAGCTTGTGTGGCGGTGAAGAGAGTGGTGATGAGGTTGACAGAGTATGAGAAGGGTATCCAATCTCTTAGAAATTATTGTGCAAAGAAGCTCCATTCCTTGTTTACAGTAGTATCTGGCTCTCAGCAAGCATGCCGACCTTCGTCCCCTAACTAAGCGAGCGAATGGGCAAGTGGGATCCTTGCCAGCGACGAACAGTAGCAGCAGCCGACATCATAATGAAGGGCGCAGAATATCAATCCTTATTGGATATTGATATATTCTTAAACGTCCTTGAGGCTTGATGAGCGGCATCTTATTCGGCGAGGCGCAGAGTAATCAAATCTGGTCAGCTAAATCCGTGATTCTCGCTTAATTCCGAGCCCCTATTTCCTCTCGCATAGCAGAAACATCGTCAATCTGACTGCAAACATGTATCGGCATGCGGCTCTTATATGCAGGTACCGGACTTTAACTTTAAGCTCGTTCTCCGGGTGTCTTCGTGCATATCTATGCTATGCACTGCTTTGAGATAAAACCTCACGATGGCTTCAGTGAACATCGACTGCCTCAGAGAAGAGATCACCCGACTCCGAGCCCAAACTGTTTCATAATGTCAGTCCACGACACAGTCCTCATCATTGGAGCAACTTCTGGCATAGGTCTTGCGCTCGCGAAGCATCTGCACACCCTCGGCAAGACCATCATTGCCACAGGTCGACGACAAGAACGACTCTTGTCCCTCTCTACCTCCCATCCAAGCATCCACACATCATGTTTCGATAACTCAGACCTCACTACTCTACCTTCAGGTCTTGACGCCATCTTCAAACAACATCCAGATATCGATACCGTAATCGTCAACGCCGGGGTTCAAAATATGTTCTCCTTCCTCGACCCCGATCCGGAAGATCATCGCCTTGAGCAGATCTCCAAAGAAGTTACCACAAATCTGACAGCACCAATGATCATCGCTCAACATCTCATCCCATTTTTCATCAAGAAACAAAGTCCATGTAGCCTCATCGTCGTATCTTCCGGATTCGCATTTATACCCGTGCCGTACTTTCCGATATACTGCCCCACCAAAGCTGCTCTGCACTCCTTCTGCATTGCTTTGAGAGCACAGCTCTCTTCTACAAACACCAAGATCGTAGAAGTAGTGCCACCTTATGTTGATACGGAGCTAGATCAGGGGTTTAGGAAGAAATTGGTTGAGGTTATGGGTGGTGAGGAGAAAGCAATCAAGCCAATGGTGGTTGAGGAATTCGTGAGGGAAATGGTGAGTGGGTTGGAGGAGGATAAAAATGAATTTGCTGTGGGTCATTTCCCGGAGATGATGGTGGAAAAGTGGAGGGATGCATATGGAGGACTACTCAAGGGCTTTGGAGTTGAGGGGTAAGTTGAGAGTTTGAATGTCCGACAAAGATGGTACATTGAAGGATATTTTGAGTCAAACTTTTGAATGTCCGGCAAGGAAGAGAACGCAATTATTGAATTGATCTGTCCTACTCTTTGATGCGTATGTATGATCCTCTGAATATCCGGCATAAGCAAGGACAATCAGGAATAATGTGATAATAAGCAAATGTGCAGGTGTAGAAAAAGCAACGACCAGAGATTCCACCCCCCAAGATTGTCCTTGCAAACCTAGAACATTCGTGATCAGCAACAGCTAGGTTCTCCTTCAACCATTGCTCAAGCCCTTCTCTCGCAAGCCTTGACCATCTTCTCTCCCAGAGTAAAACCAGTCTTCTTCATGATGTGAATTCCCCCGCCTCAGAAAATTTGCTATTCCCACTTACATCGTCCCACAAGCTCTAGAACAATTTTATCTGATATTCCAACTCTTACGGTCACAACTTGTCCCTCTCTGTGACCAAAGATCTAGATGCAGCATCAATATTACGAGTCGATTTCACAGGAATCAAGGAGCTACAAAGCTTGACAGCTCACTCTCCCAAGCACTTAAAGTGCGAGGCTAACATCAAAGACACAGTTCACAGTAGAGTTTACATGAGCGTCAATCTTGTTCCCATAACACCAGAACAGATATATCACACTTGCCGGTTACAGTCCAAAGTCTAGAGAAAGGAGAATCATAACTACAATACCAAGTCTAGAACGTCACATTTCGGACTAAGCAATAATCAAAACCTCATCCACGACGACAAGGCACAGCAAGCAAACAAATTCGCAATGGCTCGAAGGCAATAATCTGTTGAGGACAGTCTTGCAGCACTTGCTTCCGGCTCTAGTCTCTTTCGAACAGTGGGCTATTCAGCATCTTGTAGTATGTACCTAGGATATTGAGAGCATTGCGATCCTTGCTATTCATCCAACAATGTCGAAAAGCGTCAGATAGGTGGTGATATGGTGGCTCAGGGCCATCGGGTGTAGAGTCGAGCATATCGTCATGTTGTGGAATGGTGCTTTCGGCTTTGAGTCGAGTTGCAATTCTTTGGTGTTGAAGTGCAGGTGTGCAGCCTTGGAAACGAGGCTGAAATGCCAAATTGAAGCATCAAGAGACTTCAGTTTCCTAATTCCACTTAGCACAGAGACTCGATACCCAGCAAACGCAGATGGATCACCTCGAGAGCTTTGCTCGATGGTACAGACTCGCATCATTATGTCTGAAACTTGCGGGCGCCTATCAATCTGCGTCGACGCCCAAAATACCACCGAAGCAAGCTCCGACATAGCTCTCCGAAGCCTCGCACAACCTCACGGACATCCTCGAATACGATCTCTCGAAGAGTCAGCAGCCTGCGAATGAATAAGCATATGGGACAGACGGAAAGGCGCAATGAGATGAAGCAGAATCATCGGAAACAGGCATCACATCTGCGACGGCAGTTCTACGACTCCTTGACATATACACGAATGTCGATTCCCTTCGTTGGATGGCTTTCAATCCATATCCATGCTATCTTCGGCTGAAATCGAACGCAGTGATGGACCTCGCTACGAGAGCATTTGCGACCTATACAAGTTGGAGACGGACGAGAGGAGACATCTAAGCTCCCTGTCTCACCATGGACATCCCACGAATCTCACAAGCCACGGGCGTAAGATTGGTCAAAGCAGTACAATACGAATCTATCTTGTGGCAGGCTTCGTCATGTTGGGTAGGATATTCTAAAACGAGGCTGGCGATGTCTAAAGTCCAGCAAGGTCCCAGATATGCACCATAGGCGAGGGAGCAATGTAGTTCTAAACCAGTCACGACTGCAGTGCTCATGTGCACACGGTAAAGGTTAAGCCGCTGATGCTACTCGACCCGAGAGATGCTGCTTCCCGAGGGATTTATTTATAGTACAATAAGCTGAACGCGCTCGAAAGCGCAATATGCCAGCCCTCGCAGAGCCAACTTTGTCGCCTCAGAAAGCTAAGGCAGGGGAGAGTCCCTACGGGTAGGTGCAGACAATTCTTTCCGCTCTGAAAGCTCAATCAGGTAGGCTTTTCCCCGCACGAATCCAGTTTATCTGTATCCCAAGCCTCCGAAATAGGCGGGCCCTGCCGTGTGCGGCTGAAGCTTGTTTGTCGTCCGCAGATCAATTTCCTTTTTCAAGAATCGATTCCTCTTCCAGAGCTTGGCAGGCACTTCGCCTACGTTTCAAGGCCATGATTGGGTTAGTACCCGCCGAAGCAATATCGAACAACATCTGGTTCCCCGCCACGACATCCGGTTCGATACTGACATTCTATTCTGAAGATAGGCTTGAGGAGGCTTATTTGAAGGATTGTTGGTGTGTCTGCATGCATGATTTGCATTGCCATTCATTGGCTCTTCCATCGAGTCCCCGCATGAAACAAACACGAGATGTACGCCCGAGTGGGGTGTTGAAGGGACGAGGCTTAAGCCTCAGAAAATGTCAGGTCATGACCGTCGACTTTCAAAAACTCTCGGCCATCGAACTGAATATTTTCCAAAGCGAAGAATTAATTCAATGATGCTCCAAGAATGTTGTTGGTGGAATCAACAATGAACTGAAGTACATCCAGGTATACGTGCATCTGTGCAAGCTTCACTTTAGAGACGATTGGCTCCACAAGATGCCTCTCCTCAAACAGCCACTTTCTGGTAGCTGCATCTCTCATTGGTCTGTTCTGAGAAACAATACCAGAAGCGTAGGGTTGCATGCCGTGGGCGTAAATCCATTTCCTAATTCAAGACAAGCATTGCGCCTCCAAGAGACTTTCCAGATAGAGCTCGAGGCTGCAAAAGGAATCTGGCGATGAGTCTGCATTTCAATGGTGGTCACCCATACTTAATATGAGTTTTCCCCGAAAATATGTTTCGGGTTCCTTCACGAGGCTCCGATCAATCGTCTCAAGATGCATTTCTATCGAGGTTTGATCATCTTCATTTCGCTAACCACTGTATCGACACTGCCATGGGATGGCCCAGAACCAACAGCAGTGCATAATGGTCTTCTCATGCGAGCTGACGACTGGAGTGCTGCTCCAACACCCAGACCTCTAGCCTTCCATGAGCAATGGAAACGCCAGACGTCAAGCTTTATCAGCCAAGAAGCTTCGACGTGTGGATTTATTAGTGGTTCTACCAGTTTGTTGGCCCTTGCTTTCCCTTGTACATTCTGGTTGTTGACGAAATGATAGGTAATTACTTGACATGCGAGAATTTTGGAGATGCGTGTGTCCATGATGCCCAATACAGTGTTTGGGGATGCTGCCAGACTCCGTACACTGCTTGTCAGTTGTATACGTCGTGTCTTCCATACTCGGACATAGCGAGTTGTGGACCGGATTGTTCTGCTGATCCTTACCTAACAATATGTTCGGACTCATTTTATCCTATCTGCGATCAATACGTCCTCGACGACAAAGGCATCCTCGCATCCAACTTCTACTGTGATTCGACGACAGATATAGAGACCGCATCTCTCTTTGCCACAGATGGAGATCAAGGCTTCGTAACCTATGTCGAAGTCACTATGTCTATCCTTAGTGCATCTACATCGTCAAAATCCACTTCTCAGTCCTCATCTTCTTCATCGACAAAGCCATCTTCATCCCCCACTGCTATAATCCTCACCACATCCACCAGTCCAACTCCAAGTCCAACTCCAAGTCCAACGCATACTTCAAGCCCAAGCTCAACTCCTGTTGGGGCAATAGCAGGTGGTACCGTTGGAGGTATCGCCGTCATCGGTGCCATAATTGTAGCCATCCTCCTCATCCTCCGCCGCAAGCGCAACAAACCCTCCAACTCAGCCATGGCAGCAACACCCAGACCGGCAACATACGACGAATCCACCGCACATCCTCCACCCCAAATGCACAGCTCTCCCGTCCCCTCCTATGACACCCGAGGCTCAACCTACAAGCCGTCCATTCCAATGTCACCAGCCTCGTATACGCCCGAAGCACAGAAAACAACACCAATGTATGCAGCAGGTGGACAACAGCATGCGGGTCTGGGTCTCGAGGTCACGGAACTTCCTTCTCCGCCGGGGACGCCTGCTAATGCTCATCTGTCGGGGGGGTATGCTACGCCGAGGTATTCTAGTCTGGGTGCTTCCCCGATGTCAAGTGTGCCTGTTGCTAGGCCTGGGAATGAGAATGATGCGCCAGAGGTACAGCGGTATCAGCCGTTTATGGGGTGAGGAAGAGGGTGGGAGGGAGGATTGTGTTTGGGTGACTGGCAGGAAGGAGGCTTCTGGTATGGTAAGGAAGTTTCTGGTATTGTAATGAGGTTATGTCAGTATACGACTTGATGTAATGGATTTGTACTTGCTGTTTGCATTGCGTTTGCGTGCGATTGGGACATGCTTTGCAAGAGTAGAGTTTGTGTTGAGTCTTCAAGTGAGATATGCTTTGCGAGAATAGCCTTTGCATTGCCCTGATTGAGATGTGAATTGCGAGAGTATCCGTTCCATAGCTTCTTCAATTGAGGTATGGCTTGCCAGAATTGAGTTTGCATTGCGTCTTCAATCGAGATATGATTTGTGACAAGAGCCTCTGCATTGCCTCAATTGAGATATGTAATGCTTGAATAGCCTTTGTGGCGTCTGCAATTGAGACATACGTTGGGAGAGTAGCCTCTGCAGCGCTGATGCAGCTTTGTTTACATCTGATAAGAAGCAAATATCTCCGGCCTTGCCACGCATATTCCCGATATAAGATGCTCTGCACGTGAAGGAAACGTTTGGCACGTTTGGCTTGTTTGGCAAAGCTAGCTTGAGCAAACAAGCCAAACTCAGAGGCTCGGAACGCTCCGAGCCGGAAAATCCTGCTAATCACCAACCCCTGCCCCAGAAGTATATAAACTCCCATTCTCCCGCCAAAAAAAAAAATTTCCTTCCTTCAACAAACCCAAAAAAAAATTCAACAGCACACTCCACCCTCGTTGAACCACTCTGAGACCTTGACGGATACTTCATCTCTGCTTCGCTCTATCTTTCTGTCTCTCTTCAATTGATCACTTCCTTCAAGATTCTCCCAAAGCACTCGTTCTTCAATTGCCCTTGTCGCGCGCTCAACGTTCTGCGCTCGACTTCGATTTCGCACCTACGCAACCCCTTCGACCATCACCAAGACAGTTCTTCAAGTTCACCTTCGGATCAGAACCCAGTATGTCAGACTCTTGACGCGTCTTCTCTTGATCGCGCTAACACCACAGCCACCGCAATTACTGCTTCCAAAAGTCGCACGTCTTTAGGCTTTTGGAAGGCATCAACACTCGAACCACCTCGTCGCCCACCACAAACCTTCTCCAAAGCTGCACGTCTTTAGGATTTTGGAGCATCGAAAACTCAGCATCACATCAGCGACCACATACCTTCTCCACTCCAAAGCCGCACGTCTTTAGGCTTTGGAGTGCGTCCATCTCACCACACCATCACGATCTTGAACATAGGTACGTTTACCAAGATCGCAACGCGTCCTTCATCACTACGCCATCACGATCTTGAAGACGCTGCGAAAAATCCCGAGACACCACACATCTCGAGCCATCGTCATCACATCCACGAAGGCAATCGAAATCCTCGCAATGTCGCCCAGCCTGTCAGAAGTTTTTTAATCGTAAGTTCCCCTTCCTCCCTTCCTTGCATTTTTGTGTTCTTTTCTTTTCGACTTTGGAAAATTCTTCACCACTTTCACAAGACGCGTTTGGCAAGGCTTTTCGCGATCTTTTTACTTCTCAATTTTCTCAATTTCGAGAAATTTGCTTTGTGGGAGGGCTGGATGAGATTAGCCCTGGTCACTTCTGGTTTTGATTTTATTTTACCTTCGGACCCTTGCGTCCGTGATGTTTTCCCGATTTTTCTTTGGCTTCGTCATTTCCCCCTTTCACTTTCAGCCTCATTTCAGGGGCTCGCTTAAGTCAGGCACTTCCCACACAACACTTCAACATTTCTTTTCATTTTATTATTATTATTTTTGCGATTTGTCTTCGTCATTTTCAATGTTTTGTCATGTTCATCTTTCATGTTCATTTGCTAACATCATCTCAGTTTCGTGTCGTCGCCGGAGTCTCACCGACAAAGGCATCACGTCGTTCATGCTTCCATGACAGCCGGGATCCTCCTTAGGTGGTTGGGAGGGCGAGGATTCCTATGTGTTCATTCCGGTGAAAGGCCTCTCACTTTCCGAGGTAAGTCTCTTCCTGATCCTCGATTGCCAAGACGTCGATTCGCGGTCATCTCTTTCGCAGTTCATACCACCTCTCAATACAAGGTCAATGGAAGGGTTGCAGTGCTCCCGGACAGCTTTGCCACATCATTAGCACCAAGTGTGTGAGAGCCCCCCCCTTCCTCTGTGCCAGGGTATGGTGCTGTTGGGAAGGGAGTCTAACCTGCGGGAAGTCATGGTCTGGGACAGATGACGTTTTGAACCCGCGGCGTTGGTGAGGACAGGCTTGATATGGCAGAGTGCTTATTTCTGTGATGGAGCACTGAGGTCGCCTAACTGAGCGCCGCTACGTGGGTGTCAGGGTCCTCCTCCGATATGGTTAGAAGGCCCTAGCGGGTTCTGCGGCCGTAAGCATGGAAAACTGGCTCCGATGATGCATACGAATTTTCTCCTGGGCCGCCGTTTGGGGCGGGCAGCAGCGTATTACCTATCGAGCAGCTCGGCTCCCCAGCAGCCCGGGGTATCAGATGAGAGCGTGATGTGGGCGGTGCGCCGAGTGGTCGCGAATCGTTTCTTGTTTTGGGATTGGGGTGATGATTGAGATGCGCTGAAGAAAGTGAGAGGGAACAGCCAGGGGTTATGTCCTGGGCTGGATATGTCTTGCGAAGGGGCGGGGGGGGAGGGGGTATCAGTGGCGGAGAGAGTTGTGCGATGAACCTGCGGTTTGTGCAGAGCATCGGAAGAGAGGGGGGGCGCAGGGGTTACACGATGCATCGGTGGGAGGGCGGCGAGCTTTCGGTGGATCTGTAGGAGGTGATTAGACATCAAGGCCTGGCTAGGCACGGAGAACAAAGATCATCGTCAGATCTTAGAGTTGTCACCATCAAACCAAGACATACTCTCCTCCTCAATTGCATTCCATTCCTCATTGTGATCTACTTGTGACTATGCTTTCGATTTGATTTTGATGCTTTCTACTCTTCATGATTCGCAAGCTTTTTGCATTGTGATTCTACCTTTCCTTTTTGAAATATATATATATCTTCACGTCTATGTATCAAGACATTCTCATCTCCACTCTTGCATTGCGAGCTTCTTGTGGTTACGTTCTCGATTACGACCTTGATGCTTTCTACCATTCGCTCATGCATTACAAGGAGTGCGTTCACTTGTGGTTCTACCTTTCCGTTCTGAAACTGATGCATCACGATTTCCATGCTAGATTAGCTCACACTCCTCTTCCTGCACTCTGCTTCATCCTGTTCTAGTTTTCATTTCTCATGAGCATCTACATCCTTCCACTAGTTCCACCAACAATTATCTTGGAATTGCTGCTCAAGCAGACTTTCAATCGACATCTTGCTCTTCTGCCCTTGCTTCAAATGGACCAAGCTTCATCCTTTCTTCTTCTTTTCGTCACATCATGCTGCACTCTCACCCACATGCATCGGTCACGCCAGCTTCCAATTCACTCCTTCGAAGCAAAGGAATCTTCTGCTTTCTCTACAAAGAGACCAGACTTCATTCTCCCTTTGGTTCACTACCACAATCTAGCATTCGCCTCACACTTTGCATTTACATCCTCCTCCATCTATCCTTCTCCTTGCAATCCTGCTGCTCTGTGATCCATACCCTCCAAAGAGGATTCCAAGTCACACTTCCAAGCAGAAGCATCTTCTGCGTTCGCTCTGAGCCCGCTAGCCTTCATTCTCCGGTCTGTATATCACATGATACGCTCTCACCTACGTTCTTCACCCAAGGAAGGTTCCAATTCATACCTTGCCAGGGACTGCAGGGCATGTTTTGCTTTCTCTCTGAGCCCACTCCATTTCCATCATGTCACGCTGCTCAGTTCCTAATATATGTTCCTCAATCAAGATTCTGAACGATATTCGCAAGCAGAATCATCTTCCGCCTTCTCCTTGAACAAACCATACTTCGTCATTGCCTCGTGCTGACACACGGCTTTCGGTCACATCAGCTTCCAATTCACATCCTCCACGCAGATATCTTTTGCTTCTGCTCTAAATAGACCAGGCTTCATCCTCCTTCTGCTCTTCATATCATGCTATATCTCCAGCCGACCTTCTTCAATGAAGCAGTCTTCCGATTGAGCAAGCAGAAGCATCTTCTGACTCTGCTCAAAATGGACCTAGCTTCATCCTCCTGTCTGTTCAGCACATCATGATGCTCTTTCTCCAACCCACACCCTTCAATCACGCCTCCTCCAAATTCACTCACTTTGTAAGCAGAAGCATCTTCTGCCTTCACTCTGAGCAGACCAAGCTCCATTCTCCAGTCCATTCACACCATTCTACCCTCGGTTTTGATTCCAAGACAGCTTCATTGATCAAATATTACTTTCTAGGCACTTGGTAGTTGCACTGTCTTGAAGGGGAAATATTTCATGTTGTTTGGAGAGCATCTTCTGCTTCTCTCCAACCAGACCAAGCTCCATTCTCCAGTACATGCACATCATTCTGTTCTCTGTCCTAAAGCCAAGGTACATCACTAGTCAGAGGCGGGTTTCTGGTCACTTGGTTCTTTGTAGCAATTTGAAAAGGAGAGCTTCCATATTACTTCCATGCTCCCGTTGCTAACGAACTCAGTTTCTCACTCCAGTCCTCCTCAAATCGAAGCATCACCTCTGCATATTTGCAACAGACTATACATTCCTCTTCCGCTGCACTATGTATCACCTTCTTACTTGCGCGCAACCCTCCATCAGTATCTTTCATGGACCATTCCGCAACAAAACTCTTCTTCACCAAACCCCTCTCCTTCACCAGATATCCCCTTCCCATCTGGACAAGCTGCCTTTTGTATTCGAACATCCTTAGCTCACTTCCGCCTATCACCAAATCTGCCTCCGAACGAACCTTACCCTTGTGTCCAGACCCGCAATTCTCCCTGCCGCATTTTCGCTATGGTCAAGCTGCCGCAAGTTCTCAGTCAGGTTCCGAGCCGAAAGATGAAGATTCAAGGAAGGTCCTCCTTTGCACTCTTCTTCTGATCACTTGATGACTGCTAACATGAGAGAGTGCACTTTCCTGTGGTGGTAGGGAGGTTCTTGTATGGAAGTTTGAGAAGAACAGGGATGTTCACTGCGGCGTTGGCGAGGAGAAGGAATGGAGGGATGTTTCGAGCTTTACGTGCTTCTTTTCTGGTGTTTCGTTGTTTTCTCTTGGGGTTGGCCTTGCTATCTTGGTACTTTCATCTGGTACTGTCCCATCAGGACTCTTCCTCTTTCCTCATTCACAGCTTTCTCTTCTCAACATTCCTCAATTGTCCCCACCTAACTTGCCTTGCCTTGCTCAAATCCGATATACCATCTCACCGCTCTCCCCCGCCAGCTATGATACAACACCTCCCCCAATCCCACCACCACCATCAATCAACCAATCTCCACAACCTTGCTCGCTGTACGCCAACCAACTCTAAAGCAACATCTCTTCTTCCGCTCTACTTCCACTTTTGATCGTCAATATACCAGCACCACACCAAAACCTCCTCACGGGATAGGTCTCCGATCTCTCTGATTCCTTCCACTTAGCTTCATCGCAGTAATGAAGGAGGAGAGCAGGAAGGTTTATTGCTGAATTACGCTTCTTCGTTTTATTTCACTTCCCGGATCTTGAGGTCGATACGGACAAGATGTCGATGGCTTACTTTGTTACTAGTGCCAGTCGCCTGCAGTCACTCCACCCTGAATAACCCTTCCGCGATAAATATCTGCCACTAAACATTCTGTCATTAATATCTTTCCCGTTGACGGTTCGCTACAATGATCTAGTTCTGCTTCTCTCTTTTCTGTCTTCTTCAGAATCTTCACATCCTTCCTTGAGGATGCGAAGTTTTTGGAGGCATCCTCATCTGCTGTATCCAAGGATGGAGGGCTAGCTTCCTGAGGCATTTGGAGGTTCGTTGGAGTTGGGATTGGCGTAAATGCTGAGGATGGATGTGAGGTACAGTGGACTCTTGGAGTGCTGCACTCTTGATATGTAGAATGGTTGGATAGAAGTAGCTGTTCTGGCGAGATTATTATCTCAAGAAATCTTCTGCTTCTTTTCAGTCACACCTTTCTCTTTTCAATCCTTCTTAATCCTTCCCATTTCATTTCATTTACTCACCATGTCGAAATCCGGACTAATTAGATCCACCTTCCGCACTTACAGCATCATCAATCAGACAAACCAGCAGCCTCGTAGTCTCGCTGCATAAGCTCACATTCTCGACAGCTTTTGAGCATGTCGCATTTAGCTTCACTTCCATGGTTCGAGTACTCAGTACCTCCAACACCAACCAACATCTCGGAATAGGTCTCCGATCTGCTTGATTCCTTCCAATCATCTTCATCACAGGCTTATCAACGAACCACACACCCTCCTCTCTCCATCCCCCATCCCCCATCCCCCAGATCTCACCCAAACACAAGATCTAGATCACCCAAACCTACCAACGCAAGAACTCAGATTGAATCTCACGTCTAATACCAGAGTAGTTACCAACCTGCATGAAAACGTTCCCATCCCCCTTCCCCATCTCCCCTCTCCTAACCTCCTAACCTCCTAACCTTTCTTAATTACATCAATTAATTAATTATCCCCAACTTCTGATTGATCCTCGTCACAAACCCCTCCATCGTCCATCCCTCCCAATTCCCCAACCTCCATCTATCCTGCATCCTGCATCCTGCATCTTTAGCTGGATCTCGATTAACGATCCACATCATCCTTCCTTCCATCTCAGAGAGTACCTACCTAGCTAGCTAGCTAGCTAACGTCAAACACACACGGATATTGCGTCATGGACAACAACTCCCTACTCTACCTACTACTTAGCTTAGCAGCTTAGCAGCTTAGCAAGGATGCAAACCAAGCAAACACGGCACGGGAATGGCGTCTCGCGTTGCAGGCGTTGTCACTGTGCAGGTGCGCAGTGATGATCTTTTTTGTACTTGTACTACGGAGGAGGAGGAGGGGGAGGAGGGAGGAGGTATGATTTCATTGCTCGCTCGCTTAGGAGGGGATGGGAGGGGTTGTGAGGGGTTGTTGGGTGGTGTTGTGCCGCTCATGTGATTTTTGGATCTTTTATCGACGAGCTTTGTGAGGAGACGGCTTGGAGTTGGTGAGAGGAGGATACTTGGAGAGAGAGGAGATCTGGGTGGAGGGAGAAAGGAGAATTGGAGAGTATGGCGAAGAAAGAAAAGGGAAGGGTTGGGATAATGGAGAAGGGGGAGTGGAGAAGTTAGATTCAAGATAGATTCATTACTGTATTTACTTTTCTCTTCACCATAGATACACCACCTCTCCCCTCCTCTCCCCTCCCTCTCCCTCTCCCATCCAAGCTCCCCTCCAACTTCTCCCTTCCTCCCCCTTCCACCACTCACTCATTCGCCGGGTTAAACATACAATAATCTACATTCTTATTATTACTAAACCCCCCATTATTCCCCGCCCATATCGGAAAACTATGCGCCTTCCCACTGCCGCCAAAGACCGCAAAACTCAGCACAAAGACCAGCACCTGGGTCCCTCCATCCAGCGCCGCCGACACCAGGTAATTATACTTGACGAAGATCGCCGGTTTGTATTTCCGCAGGTAGTACTGCGCGAAGAAGCCGATCGCGAAGTAGGATAGGATAGAGGAATTGACGCCCACGAATAGCCAGCCCATGTACCAGAGGATGATGGACAGGTTGATGTAGTTGAAGAACTCGATTTTCGTGTACTTATACAGCACCCAGAACGGGACGGGCACGATGAATCCGAGGAGATACGCGATCGTAACCCATTGATACCTGGCGCCGATGGAGAACATGTCGCCGGCGATGGACCAGGCGATGGCGAGGGTGTTGTACTGCTGCACGTTCTGACCGGACCAGATGTTGGAGCCCTCGATGGAGGTGAGGATGTGGAATTGGTTTGTTACGATGGTTTTCATCATGATGTAGTTGAAGATGCCACCGATGACGGCGCCGGTCATTTGCGCGGTGAAGGTGGCGCGGGGTGCGAGATGGGTCAGTTGGGCGATCTTGAGGTCGCGGCAGAGCCATTGGCCTTGTTGGACGCCGTTGAAGCCGAAGACGGTGAAGTACATGTTTGCTGTTGAAAATTGTTAGATTGTGAATGAGGGGGAAAGGGGGGAGGGAGGAGATAGAACGTACCGAGTGGCTTTCCAGGGTGCATGTAACCGGCGACCATCTGGATGATGGGTTGTTGGTTGAACTGGAAACCGGTAATACCCATCTGAGCGCCAAAGAACAAGATAAACACAAAGGCAAAGATGTTCGAGATGATGTATCCCCACCACGGCAGCGTGGACTCAATACCATACAACGTGCCCAAACCGACGGCGAAACTGCCGATGAGCACGCAGCCGTACCACCAGTTGGGAACCTCCTTGTAGCCTTCCTGGACCATCATCTTGTAATGGGGATCCATGTCCGGGTTCTCGAGGACCTCTCGGCGGTGCTGTTCTTGGGTCTTGCCTCCCTTCCAGAAGGTCCAGAAGGAGGGTTGGAGGACCTTCTTTAGTTGGGATGGGTGTAGGAAGTACCAACCGTTCTTGATGTCGTCGAAGTTCCAGAGGAACATGTGCACGATGGTGGCGGTGAGACCCATGTTGGTGGTGATCAGGTAGCCGATGTAGGTTCCAGTCAGGTATGGGATACCGTTCTCTTCGAGACCGGTTCTGTTGATGAAGTTTTCGGGAGTGAGGATCAAGCTGAGGTCGTACTCTGAGAAGACGGTTGCGTTGGAGGAATTGTCGAACAGAAGTTGGGACATGAAGGGGAAGTTTTGAGATTCCCAGATGTTGCCGTAGTAGATGCCCATGAAGAGGACAATGCAGAGCAAGTATCCGATCATGCTGTTCGTCAAAGTGTAAAGAGGCAGCCACATGGGAGAACCCAAACTAGCAATGTACTGCCAATCAAAGGAGATGGACAGGAAACCAAGACCCTCGTTTCCTTGAGAACCACCAAAGAGGTTGGTGAAGAGCAGGGAGTTCTGCTTGGCGAGACAGAAGATGGAAAGACCTTGGAGGAGCGGGAACATCCATTCAGGAATGATTTCCCAGACGAGGAGGATGCAGAAAACGATCCAAAAGACCCTGAGACGGAATCTGGTCTCGCGCTTATCTCTGTGGAGAGTTTCGAGGAGAGTGACAACGGGAATGTTGATGGGCCACAACATTCTGACGATGTTAGCTCCAGGCAAATTTGTGGGGGGTGCAGCGGAATAGCGGGGCGGAGCGGAACAAAGCGGGATTCTTACCTAGTTGGCTGAACCAGCACAGATCTCAGGAGACCTGCAATACCGAAACCCAACAATTGAGAGGAGATAACCAAGAAGATGGCCGCTCCAGGATTGGGATCCATTCCATAGTAAAGTCTCTGGGCAGCCAGAATCTCAGTAGAGACGGCATTGGTGGCCGCAGCAGAGGCCATGATGACAATGAATGCATGCTCCTTTGAATTGAATGGGAAAGGGTTCAAGAAAGTCAAGAAAGCACCCTTTCTTGGGATCAGAGCCAAGGTTTCACCGAGAGCATATCCAATGACGGTCATGAAGACGATGGAGACGTAGATAGCTTGGGGCTTGAAGTAGTAGATTTCCTGAAGCACGGAAGCGAAGATGGCCAATCCGACACCTAATCTATTGTTAGATTTCCGTTCTGTGAGTAGAAACATACTTGCACGTACCCAAGAAAAAAGCTCGGAAAGTCCATGGGCTCAAAGATGGATCATCATCGACGTGGATAACGTGAGTGAGGACATCCTTGGCATCCGAGAGAACAGCAGTCTCTCCAAAGTGATCTTCCTTGGCAGCAATAAACTCTGGCTCATCATCCATATACGTGATCTCTGGGCTTTGACCCGGGTTCTTCTCAGGGTCAACGGACGAAGAGTGAGCTTGGGGGTCATTGTGAAAGTCGGTATCGGCTCTCTGGAATCCAGGCCTTTGTGTTGCCATGATTGCAGTGACTGGCTCGTGACGGGTATCACGACAAGAAAGTGCCAAGATGGGAGGGAGAGGGGAGGGAGCAAGAGGCTCGCCAAGCAGGGGAGAGAGGTTCTTATGGGAATTTTGGGGATTGGGGAGGGAACCATGACCTCAGACTACTTTAGCCGGGCCGTTTGGTTACAGAGAGACATGTCCCTTATCGAGAGCTGGCTCGCTGGTTCCGGGGACGAGGACTGGAAAGGAAGGCTGAGTGCGTTGGTTGCTGATCGTGGGGCAAGGGCAAGACTGGTCAACGGGAACGCCTCATATGGGTGCAGATTGGGGTGGGATCTGGTGGTCGAGGGTCGAGAGTCGAGGGGGCAAAGTGATAGGTGGTGTTGGGTATCTGATTTAGATGACGGACGTGAACTGCGATATTGGGACTGGGGGTTGCGCCTAGGGACAGCAGGGAGGGGTCATATCGAAAGACTATTTTAACCCTCACGACCACTCATTTCCCAACTCTCGTGTCGCTGCGGCATTCTAGAAGAGACACACGGCTGAATGGTGTGCAGGCGAGGCAGGTCAGTTCAAGCGCAAGTGCTACAGTACCACTTGGGGTGGACTGGGATGCTCCATGATATGGTACTTATGGTACAGTGGTGAGATGGTTCTGCGATGGGTGCTACTGTACACTGCTGAGGTGGTACCGTAATTTACTGTACTGTACAGTGCTCGTACCCTGGATGGATGGATGCATGCACACGAGCTGGAGCTGGGTCGAACTGGGTCGTTGACGGTGGTAGTACTAAAGTACCACAAGCGGCGAGACCCCTCACCCTACCCTCAGCTCTCCGAACCGTGAACACAAGCTTTTGAGTGGCTTTCCCTTGGCCACCTTAAGTAGCTACGTATCTTGGCATTCCTTTGACCTGCTCCATTTTGCACGCCTTCTACTTAAGTAACTCCCCCATTGGAGCGAGTGGAGCCAGCGAAGAATGTTCTTCGTCTTCTTCGAGACAAGGTTTCGTGCACACACAGCGCAGGAGATCTCTCGGGGTGGCACCGGCACCGGCACCGGCACCGTCATCCATCCAACCGCACAGCGTATCTTTCTTTTCGTTGGACTCTCGACTCGACTGTACTTCCCTTCCTTCGTCCGTTTCGTACTTGTCCTTCTGGAGTCGCCGTGCACCAATCGAACTCGTGGCCATCTCGGCGAAAGCGTTGTCCTCGTCTTCCCCGATTCTCTCTCCTCTTATGATTTGAATGAATAACGGCGCGCGCGCATTAAACTTACCGATCAGCCGCCTCCCATTGGCCTCGATCGGCTGCTTATCTCGTTGGTGGCGCTGCTCCCTTATCTCTCCTCCTGCCCTCTTGACGCGATCGTCCGTTTGGGGCTGAAGGGCCCCGCCGCCGCCATTGGCTGCCCCCCTCTCGCGGTGAAATCGCATGAAGGTCGTCGGTCGTCGTGCTGCCAGCTTCCTCTTCCATCCAAGTGCCGGCCGGCCGTGGCGTCGCACGGTGCGAGTGAGACGTCGAAGAAAAGCCACCAGAAAGGGAGGAAAAAGCTTAGCAAGGGAGAGGGAAAAGCTTGTTGACGTCGCAAAAAAAAAAAAAGGCAACCACAGACAACCAACAACGAACGACGTGCAGGATTGGGAGATGATTCCAAAGGATCGAGTCGAGATCCCCAGCGCTTGTCATCGGCAAACATCGCCTATCGTTCCTATCGTTCGGTTATCCCATAACCTTACGAGAAGGGCGGCTGTTCTTGTTGTGTCCTCCCTCTTTGAGAAATTCAATGTTGCCTCTATCGAGTTGGAAGTCGACACCCTACCGAGGATATATGGTCGGCCGCGAAGGTCTGGATTTCTTTGGTGGTCTATTTCTGGTTAGTACTTCCACTCCAACCTTTGTACTTAATTACTGTAATTACCTAATGATTTCACGTGAATTCTCTCACATGCCGCATTTCCTAAGGAGGAAGTCTCATTTGTTGCTGCATTTCCCTGTTCTTCTTCTCATTTCTGATGCTTGTACCGTCTTGCTTCTCTTTCCCGCCCTTACTATCTTCTCGTAATTTGAAAAAGCTTCGATTCATCCAATAAAAACGGTATCGCCGATGTGGTGCAACCTCCGGCAAACCTGCATCAGGGCTGCGGGTGCAGTACCGACTTGGCACTCATCCTCGGGTCCCACCAGCCGTTCATCGTCTTGGCATATATCTCTCTCCCAAAAGACGAAACAAAAATAAAACCGAGATCTTAAAGGGAGGACCCCAAACTTAAATACCCATCCCAAATCTGACGTTCGAATAACCCTTCAAATGTTGATCTCGGAGGAATCCAGCCCCGCAGCCTAGTAAGCAAAAAAAAGCCAACCTCATTTCGGCGAGACCAAAGCAGATTCGCTTGCTCGCATTTCATCCGTTCTCGGGTTGTATCATCGACGATTTTGGATTGCCACGTGGGGACAATGCGGTATGATTGGAAGTTTGGGGATCGATGGCTGGGAAGTTCTGGCCGTTGTTGCCGTATTCCGTTGTCCATTTTCCGAACCCGAGCCCGAACGTGGATGGGATAGTTTCTCGCTGATGGCGCATTGTTGGTAGTCCCAACACATGGCTTATAACAAGTTGTCCAATCGCTGATTAGAGTCCTCGAACAAGGTGCTTTGTTGCTATACCATCCTCGTTCTATGAAAAAGCTCTTTCTCTTCATTCTTCTTCTCCGAATCCAAATGCTGCATAAATACCTGCCCTCACTCTCAAACAAGTGGTCATCTTGAATCAAACTACGATAACATCCATACCCTACCAATCTACCTATATTCACATATCAATCAACGAAGAGAGAAATTCAACCCACCATACGTCCGACATTTAGAGGACTTACTAAGCACCAACATAAGACCAACATTATCGTGTACTGTATAAGACAGCTTCTCTCCATGTCTCTGTTCCCTACCGCTATCACTAACCATCTTCAACATCCTCCTCCTCCACTTTCAGAATTCCCTATATCTTCAAGAATACGGGTCGTGGTTCGGGAAAGAGAGAGGCTGCACACCACAATCTTGAGAGAGGCTCGATGACCAATGAACATTGCCAGCAAAACATGCTGCACACACACGCATGCTCACTCACTCTCTTACCGCAATCAATGGGCTTTTTTCTCTTTCTCTATCTCTTTCTTTTTCTTTTTTCTCTTTCTCTTACGTATATCGCCCAGAAATCATGGTAGTCCACAAGTATTCTCTACATCAAGAAGTTTCAAATTCTCAAGCACAGGGAGCCCTTCTTAATTCCCATGATTCTTTGATCTACCAATATTGAAATAGATTCAAAATTGTTGGTTGCATCATTCTCAGGTTATTAAGTACCGGTGGGAGGAAGCTTGAGAGGGGAGTGGAGGTGAGACGAAAGTGCGGAAGGGTGTGTATATATTTATGAAGAAAGAATTGATTGGTTGGGTTTCGTCCCGGGTTTCGGACGTGGATGTGGATGGGGGTCTTCGCTGCTGTGAAGCAATGAGTGAGATGTAGTCTATAAGTGTAGGTCTATAGCTTCGCATACTACCTTGCTTGGTTCTAACAACTGACACAATCCCCAACAGCCCTTCCAAAGCCCCAAAATCCCACGGACAATTATCTCCTCTTTCCTCACATCACCGGCTGAGTGAGGTACGCAGTCATCAATCTCTCAACAGACATCGGCAGAAACAAGATATCCAACAAAAGCAACAAACGGCGGTATCAATACCGATCTAAAAAGCAATAAATACAATCCCGAACAATCACCAGAACTACTACCCACCAGTCCAGGAACTACCAACCCAAAACCAGAACCCTTCATCTTGACCCAAGCACCCATCCTCCAACACGAATAACTACCCTTCCACTCCCCTCCACCACAACCCCAGCATCAAAACCCTCCCCACTCAACCCACATCTCCAGCCTCATCATCTCCCTCAAAACCTCACCCTACAGTAAAAAAACATCACCCCACAGTAAGTAAAAAAAACCCCGCCTCCGACGTACCTCTACCCTCCACACATCACCCTCCCAAACCACTCCCCATCCCATCCATCCCATCCACGCTTCCCTCCCTCTGATCACAGCACCTCTCATCTCGTCAATCCACCAAACCACCTCAGCGATTGATGGCAAGAACACATCATCATCATCATCATCATCATCATCATCGGGCAAAACACTGGAACGGCATTCGAAATCCTGGTTTCTTTTCTTTTGCTTTACCATGTAGCCGCTATCCTCGGTTGTGGGCGGTGGTGTGGAGCAAATTGTTATATATTCAGTCGCCACTCAGCTCAGCTCAGCTCGGACGTTTTTCCAGCACATGCTCGAACATATCCGATCCGATCCGATCCGATCAGATCACACCCCGTGGTTTAGCTTGTGCAGCAGGACTTCGTGCGTTGCGCGAGAAGCGTTGCTGAAGAAGAGGTGGGATACCAGAGCACTGTACGGGGAGTCGGGGACGAGACCAGGAGCGGGAGGAGAATTTAACCACCTGAGCATGGCTGAGAAGGCACCATGCTAACAACGAGCTCTCTCTCTCTACTGGAAACTAAGAGAGATTGGATATTCGTGGATGTTGAGCTAAATTTGGTGGATAGGATAAGGGGCTGCGAAGATGATTTATGCCGGATGGGATTTTGGGGCTTATAATCGTTTGGAGCGGGCGGAGGGAAGAGCTGGTTGTAGTTTATCTTGCTTGAATTATCGGGAGTCTCATTTATTACTTTTGAAGTCGATATACTACGTACAACATGCAGGTGGTTGCCAAGGAGGCATCACATGTTGTTACATTATCTAACTTATTGATATTGGAATCACAGCAGAACGAGTTGTTAAGTGTCATCACATTGAGTTGAACGACAAATCCAGTCTGTACAGCACAGAGTAAAGATCATAGCATTCATCATAACTAAAGCACAAGCGATATCGAACAAAACGTTGCTACATGCCCCTAAACGCCTTTCCCACCCCCATGAATCCATATATTGTTCAGTAAAACACCAAAGCCCAACTACTTACGACCACGCGCAAGTAATTTCTCCCCAAGCTCAGCAACGGCACTGACCCAAGATGATCTGCTCGATTGTCCCTTCTCTTCAACCTCGTCACCACATCTGTTCAACAGGAATTCTCCCATCTTTGGCTCATTGAAACGTTCACCATAGACAACAGTTGCTACTGGAGCAATACCAACATCGATACCAGTCTCACCGCTTTGGCTGCTGAGATGGAAAATGATCTCCACCTTGGTGGTGAGAGGGCTGATTAACAGGGTTGACTTGACCATGATCGAATCATCAGAAGTTTTGAGGATCTCCGTTGGACAACTAACGTTTAGGCTCTGAATATCATCCACGACCTTGTTGGCCTTGTTCCATGATACGCTCACGGCACTCAGGAGATCCTTTACTGCAGTTTGTGCTTGTGGCAATCCACGGATGTGATCCCGAATGCACTGCAGGAAGAATTCCTTTTCCGGAGTGAGAGGCAGAGCATTCAGCTCTCGGTTCGCACCAATGTACCAGAGATCAATGCGAGCATTTTCTGACTTCTTTGAAGTACTAGATGCCGCGCCAAGGAAAGAGGACGCATCGAATACAAGTTCGATCTCCTTTTGGTAGGTCATCGAAGTTGTTGTGCCAGAAACGCCGGTGATCGTCCAACCATGTTCCTTTTCGATTGCATCAACTTTGCCTGTCATAAATGTTAGCATGATACCATATCCATACTGGATGAAATCTTTGTACCTTTCAGAATACTGATTTCACTAGACGTCCAACCTCTACACTCCTCCCTGATTTTTTCAGCCTCGCGGATCTCCTCTTCCCAGGCTTGCTTGCGCTCTGTACCGGCTTCGATCTCAGCCTCTTTGCCTTGCACTTGTCGACGCAGGTCCGCGATCAACTGCTTCTTGGCCTCTACTTCTGCATCAAGAGTGATCAGATGTTGGCGAGCATTACTTAGTTCTTCCTGGTCACAATTGGCAATTTCATCGGCAGCATACTGCAACTCGCCCTCTTCTCGTTGGAGTTGCTCAAATTGCCTAATCAGGTGAGGTAGCACAGTATCGAGTAGTTCTTGTTGTTGATCAAGAGTTTCCTCATCTTGAATCATGCCTTCAGCGGTCTTGAACAATCCTTCCTTGAGCGTTGCAAGTAAAGTCATTCTCCAGTCATACCACTGGCCTTTGCTCAACAGTCGTGCATGTGTCTTGACGTTCTTCAATTGATTGTCCATCACAATCTTGATATCTGGCGAGGCTGAGATGTACTCGCGGAAGAGAGGTGGGTTTTCTTCGAATGTCTCAGTCTCGATTTCTCGAACAGTCTTCCGACCCTCAGAGATGTATCTCTTCAACTCATGGCATGCCTGTGATTTGTTAGGGGGTTTAGAATCAGGGTTGGAATTGCACTTACGTGTTGAAACAGCTCAAGCATTGGGATGGTCGCCGCACCAGCCGCAACACAGTCCTCCAAAGATACCGATTTAGTACTGTCGCCCTCTTTTGCGGCAGCCTTGGGTGCAATCGTGTGCCTCCTCTTTGTTGTTGTCAGTTCCATGAAGCGGATACTTGTCATGTTAAGGAAGTCTTGGAGTTGAATTCGATCATCTCCAAAGCTTTCTTCGCTGATCTCTGGTTCATCTACAGGCTCTTTCTCAACTGGCTGTCCAATATTTGCTGTTGGAGCAAGGGCTTCGGCATCCTTGAATCGCCCTTGATGGCGTGGGGTTGTGGCTTTAACCTTCTCGGGAGATGTTGTCGTCGGCGTGAGAGATGAGAAAGTAGCTTCTTCCATACTCTTGCGGGCAGAACGTGTCATACGTCCAGTAGTAGTCTCGGCCTTGGTAGGAGGTGCTTGGAGATGAACTGCTTTGACAGGACTGCCTTGGTGACCTTTGAGGCGTTTCACTCCTCCATTGTCATCCTCTTCATCATCGTCATCGAGTTCAGCGGGCCTCTTTCCAAGAATCCCTTTGGCAGCACCAACATGCAGGCTCTTGCGGCCTCGGAGAGGCTTCTTTTTCGGGGTTAAGCTTTGTATCATCTCCTTGAGATTGATAGTAGCATCCTTCTCCTCTTCAGCTTGGTCAGCCTCGCGTTCGAGAATCTTCCGCCCATCTTCACGATTTCCCTCTTGTTCACGCTCCTGGTCAATCTCATTTTCCATAGCGCGAGGGTCATCGAATCGGACACCACGAGCAGCAGTCTCTTCAAGTCGGCTTGGCACGAAGGATTTTGCATGTTCCCCTATTGATCCACGTCGATCAAGAAGTGCAGCAACACGAGGTGAACCGAGTCCTAATTTATCAAGACCAATGCCAGATGATCGTCTCGGTTGGGGAGTTAAGATGAAACTCGGGGTAGCTGCTCCGGTGGACTTGTTCTGCTGGAACAGCTTGTTCGGGGTGGTAGCTTTCTTAGCTGCAGCGGATTGCGGAGTAGATGATGCCTTGATTTCGTCTTTGAATAGTCGTTTGGGAGAAGCTGTTCGCATGATCACATTCTTTGATGGTGGTGTCTTTCCAGGAGTTGTTGGGCGAGGAGGTTGTGGTGTAAGTTGCTTCGAAGGTGTTGATGGCTTTTTGAGAGGTGTGCCCCCAGAACTAAGTCTAGATTTAGGTGTTGTGGAGTGTCGAGCTTCAGCACTGCGACGAAGACCTTTCCCTCGGAATCCAGCAAGACTTGGACTACCAGTTTCTGATGCAACAGTATGAGTAGGTGCAGGCAACTTCGGTGGTGAGTTCTGTGGCACTTCCGCCCGGAATGGAGAGCTTCCAAGATCTGTTTCCATTTCCATAATCTTCTTTGCTTGTGATCGACTTCCCGTGCTCATTTGCGGAGGCAGAATACCGCCTAAAGCAGTTGTCATTTCCATACCGATCGTCGCATCGTCTTGTTGACTTGTTGCTTCAGCGATTGAGGGCATGATGGCACCCATAGCCACGGCCATATCCATCGTTTCGTCCTCCGCACTTGATTCTATGCTTTCGCGGCTCTTCTTTGGTTGACCTCGCTGAGTTGCTGCCATAGAAGCTCGCCTAATGGGCTTGGACGAGCCATTGTATTGTGCTAGAACTCCACCAACAACAGACGTGAATTCCATGGTCATGTCTTCATCGTCCTTGGACACCGTCTCATCGTGAGATGGTTGGATTCCTCCCATTGCCATAGTAAATTCCATAGTTTCATCCCCCAATGAAGATGACTCGCCTGAAGACCTCCGACGGGTACTTTGGCGGCGACCAGCAGCCATAGACTTTCGTCTGGAGTTGGTAGCTTTTGGAGCATCGTTGGTTATGATACCTCCAAATGCCCGAGTCACATCCATCGACATTTCGTCCTTGTCCGGCTTCTGGCTGGGAAGAATACCACCAACTGCGTGAGTCATATCCATCGTCACCTCTTCACCTTCCGATTGCTCCTCTTCCGGCGGTGCGGCTTCTTTGAAAGCTGGTGAGAATGGATTGACATTTTCTTGGTCTTGTTGGGATTCAAGGTTCTGTATAGCATTCGGCTTCTTCCATGGCGCAAAGGAGGCAACAACCTCTTCTTCCTCTTCCACCATATTCTCGTCTCCATTCTCATCAGAATCGATTCCTTGTGTACCAGCTTGGCGTGCAGCTTGCCTGAGTGCTTCTTCTAAGCGAGTGCTAGAGTCGGTGCTGTCGCTCGAATTGATTGATGCCATTGACATATTCGTCGTCTCGCCCCCATCCAGACTCATCATAGTCCCATCGTCACCAGAGTCGCTGTTAGAATTAGATGCGATATCATCATCAACGGCTTCTTCAGCATCAGAGCTACCACTCAATGGACTTGAGGAAAAAACTTCATCGTCTGGATTATTGAAATTCATAGGTGGTATGCCCGAGCTTCTCCTCCTCTTCTTCTGGTGTAAATCTCGTTGATGAGCTGGACTTGCTTTGACCGTGTCCTCTTCAACGTGCTCTGGGGGTGTAGATGGAGGGTCCGACGGATCAGAGCTTGGAGGTCCTGCAGGATGTGGTGACCCTACTGTTCCTCCTGTGACCGATGAAGCTCTGCGGGTGGAGTTTGTCGCATTGGAAGAGGTCGTTGAATCTTGGTACTCGACTACGACATCCCACGTATGAAGAGTGGCTTCTGGTGCAAATGATACTCGACGATTTGCCAAAGACTTGCGACGAGCATCTCGCCGTGATATAATTTCCTTCTCCAATTCTTGTCTTTCCTTTTCTTCTCGTTCTCTGGCAGCTGCCTGCTGTTCTTCCTCAGTCCGTAATGTAACACGAGTCTCGTTGACAGCAGGACTACCTCCAACCTCGAATGGATTCGCAAGTCTGTCGGTGCCACTTATAGTAGGTCCAGATGGCAAGTCGAAGTCAAAATCAATAAGATTCTCGGTCTTTTGTGATGACTGCGGGGTAGGTTTCTTAGGACTTCCTTTGCGAGTCGAAATATGCGCCGGAATCTCTCGAAGAGGCGGCATCGTAGGTTTGAGGATAGACTTAGGAGGAGGATGTGGAATTGCAGCCAGAGACTGAACATTAGAGTCAGTATGATATTAGAACAAGTCATGATACAGTGTCGTACCTTGCGCCTGTTTCCACTTGTATCCTTCAATGCGTCCAATCCTCCAGGTCCAATACTCTTACTCCGCGACTTTCTTGACTTCTCCATTGGGGTTCGCTTTCCTGATACTAGGAGACCAACATCTGCTGTCTGATTTTCTTGGTCCACATCTTGCGCCGAGGGGACATGACCCAAGGACTTTCTAGATTTCGGTCGTGTCGCAGGAAGAGTGATTTCGTCTCGAGAAGACATAATTGCAATAAGCAGAGAACCAGAGCTCTATTTCTTATGCGCTGTATAGATCTTCATTCAAAAATCGTACATTGAAGTCATGAGCATCGAAAGACTTCTTAGTGGTTGATCATGGATAAGTAAACAAACAGACGCGTCGAGCTAAGAGTTGATTATGGTGGCCTGAGGTCGCAACCGCCAACGCCAAGCTACCTAGCTCAGAACGGCAAGGGCGATTTTGCTGAAAAGTGCAATCACGTGTCCCACAACCAGTAAGCGAATCTCGAAAAAATCCACAAACACTTCTCGACCTCAAATTCGAACGAACTTCGACTCCACGATCGCGACTTCGACCAACCCGACCGCAATCATGGCCACCGAACTTACCGTGCAATCGGAGCGTGCGTTCCAGAAGCAACCTCACATCTTCTTGAACTCGAAGTCCAAGGCGAAGTCCAGGGCTGTTGGCAAGGGAGGACGAAGATGGTACAAGGACGTTGGATTGGGATTTCGAACACCAAAGACTGCGATTGAAGGTCACTATATCGGTACGTGGAATCTGTGGCGCATGGACTGATTTAGCGGAATGCTGAATTACCACGCTTCGATGCGAAGGGTGATGGAAATTGAAATGGAATTCAGTTGCAGCCCAAGCGCGATGCACAGGGAAGAGATCAGGATGCTAACATGCGATTCTACAGACAAGAAATGCCCTTTCACCGGTCTCGTCTCCATCCGTGGCCGTATCTTGACTGGCACTGTCGTTTCCACTAAGATGCACCGAACTCTTATTATCCGCCGAGAATACCTTCACTTCATTCCCAAGTACGCCCGTTATGAGAAGAGACACAAGAACCTCGCTGCGCACGTCTCGCCAGCTTTCCGTGTTGAGGATGGTGATCAGGTTACCGTTGGACAATGCAGACCTTTGAGCAAGACTGTACGTATAGAGCATTACCCTGGAGATATTGTTCGACCGCGCAAGATTCGGGCAATCAGCGGGGATTTGTTCATTGAGGTCGAAAGTGCTGACAAGTTTCCTCACAGGTCCGATTCAATGTTCTCCGCGTGCTCCCCAGAACTGGCAAGGCTGTCAAGCAGTTCAGCAAATTCTAAACGGTTTCTTTGGGCTTTCGATACGGCTGCATGGGATTTGTTGGTTGCGCATCAGAGCAAAGGGTTGTGATGATATGGTCTCTGCGATGGCTGGCATAGAAAAGATGTGCTTTAGCTACAGAAGTTACTGGAATACATCAACAAATTTCTGACACGCTTTTAACATTGAGAGGTGAAGATACGTGAAGCTTTGGCGGGTTTGTACAGTTGATTCGCGCGCAGGTCGCTGACAACAGGAATCAGAGGTTCCAGACCAGGCTAAAGCATAAACGATTGCATGATACACCTAGCGAGATCATACGAAAGGTCTCCATGCTCGAGATTCCGCATATCCACAAATCTTGGACAGACTACTAGCTGGTACTAAGGATGTTTGCTACCAAGTGGTGAGCAATTGCTTCTGCTACAATGCTCAAGTGAGGTAGTGAGGCGATCCGAACCCAACGCTGCGCCTACCGTATGGACACTCGGACACTACCTGATTGGAATGTTCTGTTGGATCCCATTAAGAGCATCTCGTGGTGAAGTGTGCTCTCGGTGGATTATACAACCCGCCTCACCATTTAGAAGCCAGTCACTGGCACAGCAATTCAGTATGAATTATTGATAATTCAGCCAATCATGTAGCTAACTCTTACCGAGGTAATGCATGGTAACCTCAAAACGACATCCTTAAATGAGTCGTTCTCCCCCTTTCCAGAGTTACACATTCTCGCTTGTCTGAACAATCCCCACCAAGTCCCTTCTGCCATCTAATCACCATGTCAGATTCTCCAGTTACTTCCCAAGACCCAGTCCCAGTACTCGATCGTCACTCCAAAGAAAACAGATGGTACTACAAAGAAATCAACGACCAAGTCCAACCCATTTCCCGCAAACTCCTCGAAGAATACAGCCACATCCCAGCTAACGAAATCGATGCTCACATCTACAAAATGGTAAGACACCAATCCAACTCGCTTTTTGAGCATGACAGACAACTAATCTGGTCAGCGAGACATCCTCTGGTCCCACGCCCCCTACCCTTGCGTAGGCGAATTCAAGTTCCTCGACCTTCGTCTCCCAAAACATCCTCTGTACACCCAAATCCTAACCACGCTCCGCAAGCCCTCCTCCCCAATCCTCGACATGGGGTGCTGCGTAGCCTCAGATCTTCGTTCCCTTGCCCACAACGGGATTCCCTCCACCCAACTCTTCGGGACTGATATAATTTCCTCCTATCTCACCACTTCATATTCTGTATTTAAGGACACGGACACCTTCCACGGGACTCTAGTACCAGCTAACATTTTCTCGCCTTCTTTGTTCTCAGACGAGTTCGCGGGATGGGAGGGAAGGTTCTCTATCATCCACGCGGGACTATTCCTGCATCTCTTCAATTGGGAGCAACAACTAACCGTGTGTGAAATTATCGCCAAGTTATTGAAAGAGGAAGAGGGAGCAATTCTAGTTGGCGAAATGGTCGGATGTCAAGGTGGAGGATTGAGAGGCGGGCCAGCGAATACCGATTTCTGGAAGAAGGAGAGGCGGCATTGGCAATATTTGCATGACGAAGAGAGTTTTGCGAGACTTTGGGGAGAGGTAGAGGGAAGGACTGGGACAGAGGGGATGTGGAAGGTTGATAGTAAGTTTGTGGTAAGGAGGCAGGAGAAGGGTGGGGATGGGAGTAAGAGTTGTGCTTTTTTTGAGGGAGAAGGGATCGGGTGGTTTACGTTTAGTGTTGCGAGGGTCATGGGTTCTTGAATAGTGTGTTCAAAAAGGACATTTAATGGTTAGGATTTGTGGCAAGAGTGTATTTCAGAGTGAGACAAATAAGTCTCGGCGTTTGGTCATGAGATGTAATAAGAGCTGAGATAAGCCGAGTATAAGACGAGAGGGCATCTCAAGGATCAACTTAAAGTTGCATAACGTAACTTTAGTGCTTCACTGTCCATGTTTATGAAGCACGAGGAAGACTAAAATACTCTTAAGACTAGAACAAGAGATCAAGGGTAATGTGAAACGGATGCTTAATAACATTCTGGTATCTTACTTTGATATGAAGAGCCTAAATCAAGGTCAATCAACATTAAGCGTTGTGACCACCTCTCCATCCTATCTATGCTATGCTAACCAAAAGCGTCATCTATTCAAACAACCTCGCCATGATATCACAAAGTTCCAATTTACGGCGAAAACTATGTCCGAGCTGACAAGAAGAACCCCCCTTCCCAGGCAATGAAGCGGAATGCCGCACCACGATTTGACAGCGGCCCGCGACCTGCAACCCCTTGTCCTAGATATTCTCCTTCCCAACGTCATTAACATCCAAAGAATCCCTTCTCGACAGTATGTCTGCATTATAATATTCTAACGCGTGCTGCTTCCAGAAGAATAGGATGGTTGTGACGAGCGATTGTAGTCTTTCGTACGTTGATAGTCCTCATATCGTGCTTCTGAAGCTCGGGGTTCTTCTGGATCGTAATATCTGGCACCGTGGGCGTGAACTTTATTCTTTCCGCTTCTCGAGGTCATGGTCGTCATAACGTGGGATTTATTGTCCGGAACCCGTCTTTTTTCAGTCCTCTTTTCTCTGTCTTCTCTGTATCCTCCATTTGCCATTGTGCTTCTTGATGTGGAGGTTTCGTAGTAGCGGTATTCACCAGAAGATGAGCTCTGGGAGGATGTTCGTGAGTCGGTACTCGAGTTGCGGGAGTGGATTATAGGCTTGAGATGTCGAGATCCGGAGGTAGACATGATTCGTGTGGTGAGGTCGGTTTGCTTTTATGTTCGAGTCGGTAAGTGCGAGTGTGATTGCTTGCTGCGAGTCCAATGTGTAGCGGAACAAACAAGTCTGTTGATTCAGTGAAGCGTAGAGTCTGGCTGTTAAATTTCTCGAAATCAAGAGGAAAGAAAGTGGTTTTATACTTAGGGTACAAAAAGGTACAAAATAACCATCGAGGACACTGGCCACCACTGAGAGCCTGAAGAGGGCATGTGGCTAGGGAGAAAACAGTGCCCCAAAATGCCCTCTTGCCCATGGGAGGCGGTGTCTACCGCAGAGAAAGCTGCGCCAGGTTGTCTTTCCAGCATTGGAAACCAGTATAGTGGTAAAAGATGGGTCCTTGACTCACGCAGCTTCGGTGAGAGATTGTGAGAGCAGTGGCAAGGGAGATAACGCGCAAACGAGGGAAGAGTTCGGCGTTCCTGAATGGGATTCAACACTATAAGCTTCTGTTTGCCATGCCCCAAACGTTTGTCGATCAGAAATCTCTTTGGCAGGGCTAATTCGCAGGCGTTTCAGCACCGTACCTGAATATCGTCTGATCCATTGGACGACGGAGGATCTCTGGAGCCGTTCGGTGAACGTGGGGCTGTGGACTGTGGCTCAGTGGGCTTCCCGGAAGGCCTCCATGGAGGGCAGATTTCCCAAGTAATGTAGCGCCGGTAGCCTCGAAGCCAACAATGATAAAGAGGGCCTTTCAGCATCATCCATTCAAGAAAAAGACCGCACTCAAACTAGAAGAAGGCGATGGCAAAGTGTTGCCTTGGAAAATGGGCGGTGTTTGTTCAGCTGAAGAAAAGTGCTGACGGATTTCGCCCAATTCTAACCTCGTCAGCCTTGGGCAACGAGCCAAACGCCTGAAAAAGCATAGTCTGCAGCCAGAATCATCCGGTGACTCGAACCGTGACCGTGATTGTAACTATCTGAACAAAAAACCGACGAGAACTGCCATTTGGTGATATTCGTAGTCGTAAATGATCTCTTTCTGTGAAGGATGAGGTGGGAAGAAGAGAAGGCTTTGGGAGATGAAGTGTCACTTGGCTTAATCGAGCACCCTGCTTCAATCTAAACCATTTTCGGACCAAAACCCTGCTAGAGCGTCATCCCCTGCATTTGCAACATCTCCAATTCATCAATTCGCGGTCAGGGACGCTGAGGCACGAACAATTGCATTCAACGTGTCCAGATCTCCATCCAAAATCTGTATGTCCTTGGCTCTCTCCCCCACAGCTTGTCTGCGCGACTGCTCACAGAAGTCAATTACAGTTTTCTGAACTCAATTGACCACCATGCGTTTCTTCACCCTCGCAGCCCTGGCTGCTGCGGCTACGTCTGCCATTGCCGCCGATGTTCAGGTCGATGTTACCCGTGAGGTCGAGTGTGAACGAAAGTCCCAGAAGGGTGATAAGATCTCTGTACACTACAGAGGTACTCTGCAATCCGACGGCTCCGAATTCGACGCAAGCTACAAGCGTGGCAATCCTTTGGATTTCGTTGTTGGCAGAGGCTCCGTTATCAAAGGGTTAGTCCCATCATATATTCCACTTCCCAAGTTTATGAAGACGGGAGGGTGGGTATGTCCATGCTGCTGCGAATGGGGCTGATATGCTGGTAGATGGGACGACAACCTGATCGACATGTGCATTGGCGAGAAGAGAACATTGACCATCCCTCCCGAGCATGGCTATGGTGACCGAGCCATGGGTCCTATCCCAGCCGGTAGCACATTAAGTAAGCTCTTCATTGGGAATCAATTGAGTATCTGCTGACAAACGTCAGTCTTCGAGACCGAGTTAATGGGCATTGCTGGAGTTCCCAAGCCGGAGAGCATTATTGAGAAGACCGCAAGTAGTGCTGCTAGTGAAGCTAGCTCTGTGGCCAGTGAGGCTACTGAAGGTGTGAAGGATACTATTACTAGCAAACTTGCAGACGCAGCTGAAGCTGTCAAAGTTGTTTTGGCTGACAGTGATGGTGACGGACAGGAGCACAACGAGTTGTAGACAACAAAAACGAATTGTGAATGGATGCCATATTGCAGCTACCTGGGCAACACATTGCTTGATGAGAGAGGTCGCAGATACACCAGGTTTAAGTGAAAGGTCTGGGAACTAAAACTACCGGATGGGGATAGAGAATACATAAATAAGCGTGGTCTATTTGGTGGCCCTCGGCATCCTTGACTTCAGAACTCTTTTGAAGTATCCATTCCATCTGTTTAGTGCAAGGCCACCATACAGCAGCACATACAGTACGATACCTCTACGCAATTTCTGCGTGATTTGTACCTCATGTTTATCTGGTATTTTTTCCTTCATATTATCCAGTATCTACGATTGATTTGTTCCTGCTGTCCTGCTTCCTGCTTGTAGTACCTCTGTGGCTTTACTTTGTGAATTTTGAGGCTGTCCAGGCTGTGGAAATTCCACACCCTTTTCTCAGATTATAGTGCTCTGCTAAGATACTTTTGCCAATTGGGACTCGGATGTTCCAAATTGAGTCGAGGAAATCAAATGGGGTGGAAAACAAAGGCAAAAGTTGAGGCAATTGTTAGTAGGCTGTTGTAGCGAAAGCGCTAGACTCCAAAGGTATTGTTGATTAATTTTCTCTCTCTCGCACTTTGCTTTCGGTTATTAAGCTTGCCGCTCTTGCTCAGGCGCTAATCACCCTCGGCTCAGTCAACTCACCTGAGCTGCATGAGCAACCTGAGCAACTCCCCCGAGCACCCTGAGCACCCTGAGCACCCTGAGCAACTCACCTGAGCAGCTCACCTGAGGATGCTCTACCCAATGCCAATCTATTTTTCCAAGTTCGACTAGAACAAGATTTGGGTCAATCGTGCATGAACAAGTTGCTCGCAATAATACGGCTTCATTGCCCCAAGTAGTCGCGTCCCCCAATCATTCTGCCAGTCACAAATATAGAACGCCTTTACGAATTCCCAGTGCTCTGGATACCATCCTGCCATTTCCCAATCAATAATCCCCGTTACGTGGCCATCCTTTATTATAATATTATCTGGCCGGAAATCCGCATGTGTGAAGACAATCTTGTGTTTGTGTGTAGCTAGCATGCCCGTTATATAAGGCTTTATGTGGCCTTTGTGGATAGTACAATAGGCATCGATAAGGGTAGCGTTAAAGTCGCCTTCGGATGGAAAAGGACTTATGTTATTACAATTAGTTTCTCCGTCTAACACGCGATTTATAATAAAAGTAGAGCCAAGTACTTTTATTGGGCTGATACTCGAGAATAACATCTATTACCGGGCCGTTGTTGAGAGATCCTATATAATTACTTCCCGGCACAGCTCGCAACTGTTCCAAGTAACCTTGAAGCTCGTGCATTACACGTGACTTCTCGTCGTCGCCCAAATTACCCCATTCCTTCTCTAAGGTCTAACCCTCCACGAAATCTAGAAAAATATAGGTATCATATTTTGAAGCCCACTCCTCATCTCGCTCCTCGAATGGCCCATGTGTGTACGCGGCGTAGACTCGCGGTACCGGAATCGATGTGTGATGCCGTACGAACTCCAGCGTCTTGGCTTCGCTCATATGTACGCTATCTCCGTACTTCATAACCATGGTCGGCGAGATTTTCACGATCTTGACTCCGCCACGCAAGAATAAGCGTTCCTGGGGCATGCGGGACGCAGCTTTGGGGGTGATGAGCTCAAAGTCAGGCGCTTTGATATGTACACTGATCTCTGGGCTTGAAGGAGCCATGGTACCGATCGTTGGAGTTGGGGGCAGAGACCAGATTTTCAAATATGGTCGAGTGAGTTCGGATGCGTTTGAGGTATCAGTGTTAAGATACGAAGGTGTGGGAAGTCGTTGAAGATTGGTTAATTTAAGCGAAGTCTCGTGTGATTTATCAAGCTGCTTCTCTTGGATGCGGTCAACAACTTTCTCTCCCACGGTAGTATTTCTATCCGAGAAGCAATTAAAGAGATTCGGCAATACTGGCAGGCTTCAAATGACTTGAATTTAGGTGTTTATATATTTTGGACCATATTTACAAAGGTTGAATTTCGGAAATTAGAACCTTGTATTAGAGCTAAAATATACACCCTTTATAACTCAGCTTAGATTTTCTTTCCGTATCTTACGATGGAAGTAGAATGTAGGAACGAAGGGATAATATCGCAGATCGATAAAACGCTTATAGCTCTAATATTGCTATTAAATAATGATTAATTTATATTCTAAAATATTCTAATAATACAAATTTAATCGAAAAATCTTCTCGTTTTGTTTCGTATGATTAAAGGGCTATTAAAATCTACGATCACTACCTTAATATTCATAGAGACCAGATTTCCTTCTACCGTTATACTATTGAAAAGTTTGATATTACGAATAAAGATAATAAAGGTAAATAAATAGTTTATATATTTATGAAAAATGTTTACGATATTTATAGTCTAATACACTTTGGGAGATTCTGCTCAGCCGTTGATTAACTATTTGATCCTTTATCTGACTAGCATTAATCATAGTCCCCGGATCTCGCAGTTTTATCTTAGCCGGATGAGGAAGATAGCCAACCGGATATAGTCGACTCCCAAGAGCCTCTACAATCATCCCAGACATTGCAGCCATCATACAAAAAGTCAAGAAGCAATCGATTCTAAGGAAGGGAGGGAAAATTCGACAAGTGGACTTTGCGGGGGCCAAATAGTACTATCGAAGCACTCTAAGGCACGGGTTACACTTATCAGCACTGATCGCGAGTCGTTTTCTATATCCTTGTATTGATGTGCATTCGTCATGGTCACAATGGATGAAGGACAGAGCAGCAAGATTGCGGCAACAGCTCTGGCTCTTGGGCAAAAAGTAGGCAAAAGCACGGTGAGAGGACTGGACGTCAGCAACGTTTTGCTTGGTTTTGAGGAAAGTTAGTACAATGCAACTATACCATCATCGATATATCTTTCTCCCCAGACATCCATGACAGCCACATCATGTCTGAGATTCTAGTTCCTCAGGCATTCGTGACAATAGCATCAGGTTTGATATATCTTACTCCTCTGGCCCCGGTGACAGCCACATTCTCTCCACTCAGACGCTAGTGGATCCAGATTTTTGAATTCATATGATAGAGACCCGTGACTTACACTGAAGTCAATACAACCCACGGTAGGCCTGCATTACTAGTCACGTACTCTTTTACAAGAGAGATCTAAAATTGCTCCACCTGGACCCTGTAAAGGAACAAAAACGGATTCCCGGGCAAAATTCGGTAAGGAAACTATAGCGGGGCCACACAGGAGGCCAAAATGGGTTCCAGATTATAGTGCGCAGGCTGACTCAGGGCGTGCTCAGGATAAGGCTCTGCTCAGGCTCTGCTCAGGCTCTGTTCCGGCATGCTCACCCTCAGCTCAGGTTAAAGCAGCAGTTGCTCACGTCCGCTGACTAAAACGGAATGAGCGACAGGGAAAATCAATCCTGAGTTTATCGGTATTCCTGCAGCACATTGGCCAACATTGCTCAGCCAAGTCTGCTCTCCTCCTGGAGACCATCAACGACTATCATGCATTTTACAGCCCTATCATATATACTTCTGTTGTAATTTTCGCTCTAGCTCATCTCTATTGCTCCCGCATCGAAAAGCTATGGTCGACCCCTTCACCCTTATTACAGGCATCGCAGGCCTCCTCAGCCTCGCGATAGACATCACCGAGAGAACATATGACTTCGTCGACAGTGCAAAAGGTGCCTCAGAAATGATCCTTCATCTCCACGAGGAATTATGCAATCTCAAATTGGTCTTGATCCAGTTGCATGCCTTCCTTAGCAAGGAAGAGCTCTTCAGCCTTTTGGAGAAACCGCTGCATTGTGGGCAGCCAACAGATATTGTGAGGCTAAACTTTAATCTTTGATCGATAAGTTGGAAAGATTGAAATCGGGAGGGAAGACCAAGAGATTCATGAAATCCTTAGTCTGGCCGCTCAGCGAGACGGAAACAAAAGAAACAGCGATGGATCTGCATCGTTGTGCGCAGACTTTTGGATTGTCTCTTGATATTGAAGGATAGTGAGTGCTATAAGATCCTTAGTCTCAAGGTGCTATGTGCTGATTGGAAAGCAAAATACTACTACAAGCCACTGGGGATGTTTCCGGGATATTGAATGCGCAGGTCTTGGCTCTTGAAGAGGCCCGAAAGATTCCAGTCCTAGCTGGTAGCTTTCTCGATACCCAGATTATCTTGAGAAAAGATACTGCAGACCTGCTTTGCGATATTCAATTACAATCACTTACACTCGATGAACTTTGCAAAGACATGGGGACGGTCACTGAGTTTGTTCGGAGTATGTACCTAGCCCCTGACATTTCCCACTCAAACTGACATTTCCAAGCCGAGCAACATGAAAAGATCTTACGATGGCTGGCAAACCTAGATCCGTTTACGAACCAACGTAACGCGAGTAAGCAACACGAGCCTGGTACCGGAAATTGGCTTCTCCAACGAGACGATTTCTTAACGTGGAGATCTACCCCTGGAACGGTAATGTGGCTTCACGGGATTGGTGAGTCTTGTGCATATCGGCATATACTTTGCTAACAGCTAGATGAAGCTGGATGTGGGAAGACTGTTATTTGGTTTGTTCATTTCCCCTATCATGGAGATAATACTGACTTCTAGAAGCTCCACGATCATCTCGCACCTAGAGGCTTTCTGCCAATCACACGCTGCTCAACTTGTCATATTCTACTTCGACTTCAGAGATCCGTGGAAGCAGAATGCAGATGGCTTACTGCTTTCGATCCTAGCTCAACTCTCGTCACGCAACCTTTACAGATCGGTCGAGCTGCTGTATGAACAATGCCACAAAGGCAACCGAGCTCCTAACGAGGATGAGCTGAAAGCCACCATCGAGACTATTCTCTTGGAAATCCCACGTCTCTTCATCGTCCTTGACGCGCTCGATGAATTTGGTGAGTGCCTAGACCTCATGGAATTAATCCAAGAGATCAATGAGTGGAATCCTGGCGCAGTGAGCATTCTGGCCACAAGTCGCAGATACCCCGAGATCGAGGAAGAAATCATCGAACTAAAGCCCGTTCAAATCAACATTCAGAGCTCGCTGATCGATAGCGACATTCGGACCTACATTCAGACTCGACTACAAGGAAAGGGCAGGTTACGCCGATGGTGTAGAGATGAGACAATCAAGAGTAAAATACAGCAAACGTTGGTGGAAGGTGCTAAGGGCATGTGAGTGCTAGTGGTTTGGGAAACAACGAGATGATGGATGTTAACGGCGTACAGGTTTAGGTGGGTGGCATGCCAAATGGATGAATTGGATCGATGCTTGACACTAGGGAGTCTTGAGACAACAATGAAGTCACTACCAGACACCCTGGACAAAACATACGAAAGGATCCTCCTTGGAATCGACAAACGCTATAAGTCTCAAGCACTGACAGCCCTACGATGGCTCGCATTTGCCATGAGACCACTCACAATACGCGAAGTAGCAGAGGCCGTCCATTTATTCAGTTGTGAAGCCACTATTGGGGACGTTGGAGATGAATCACGGAATCGACTGTCGGATCCCAATGACATCCTGCTAATCTGCTCCGGACTCATCACTATTACTGAAGAACTTCAGCCGGATGCAGATCCAATAGGGTACTTCCCTGTGGGACACGAGTCATACGGGCATATGTCAGAACCCGAGGATATAAGTGAGCCTGATATGAGAATTATACAACTCTCACATTTCTCTGTCAAAGAATATGTAGTCTCAGACCACGCCAAATTAGGACCTGCATCACACTATCACCTTGTCGAGCCATCATGCCATACATACATCACGCATTGTTGCGTATCCCATCTCCTTCAGTATCGAGACATTGACTCCTTGAGCCCCGATACACCAATACTCGCACCTTTGGCAATATATGTTGCCCAATTCTGGGGTGAAAATTGCCAATTGCTTTGGCTTCAGTACTTGTAGCTGACGTTTGATAGGAGCACACGCATTCGAAAGTGGAAAGGGCTACGAGGACCCCAAAATAATTTCGCTATGTTTGGAGCTGTTGCAGCCACCAGCGGAAGTCTACCTCAACTGGCTTCGATTGTACAACAGTGATGACGACCACTTTCCGTCCCAATTTAGTCCAGGGTCCATCTTTTACCACTTTCACTTTCCGTCCCCTCTTTACTTGATATCCAGGCTAGGACTCGCTCACTTGGTCGAACTTTTGATCGAAAGAGGAGCTGATATTAACGCCGTTAGTGGAGATGAAGGGAGTGCACTACAGGTTGCCGCCTTGAATGGGCATCTAGGTGTTGCAAAGATTCTTCTGTCCTGTGGAGCATATGTTGATGGAAACATAATAGGTGTTGATTATAATTCCGCCTATGGATCTCCACTCTGCGCAGCCGCTAGCAAGGGACAACTAGAAATCGTCCAACTACTTTTGGATCATGGTGCTATTGTCAACGCTGGAGAGAGTGTCGCGTACGAGGGTGGCTACTACGAGAGCCCTAGATCTGGAAGGCCCCTATTCCATGCCGCTGAGGGCGGCCACGAGAAAGATGTCGTGCAGCTTTTAGAGCATGGCGCAGATATCATATATGAAAATAGCTGGAAGGGTTGTCCTTTAACATCCGCAGTCAAACACGGGCACACCAGAATTCTTGACCACCTTCTTAAGAAAGATACTAATCTTGTCCACTACCAATCCCGTGGAAGCAGCATGTTATCTATGGCTGTCTGTGGGGGCCCAGGGGAAGCTGTACGGATGATGTTAAACTATGGTGCAGATGTGCACTGTCGGGATTCGAGAAACGATGTAAGTTGCAAAAACTTTTCGACTACCAACATTTTAATGATCTTTGTTATTGATATATTCGAAAACTCTTGTTGATATCCCGCAGAGGGGCAGAAATTCCGGCAGCGTCTTAGTTCAAGCTGTGAATCGAGGTAATATAAAAATCGTTGAACTGTTGCTGGACAATTGCGCGAATCCAAACGACCAAAGTGGCATGTCAAGAGGTGCTTTGAGATTGGCAGTTGAAAGTGGAGACCTGGAAATCGCGAATTTGCTTCTTAGTCGAGGTGCTGAACCCAATGGATGCAATATCGGCACACTCGGGATTGCTGCTACTCAGAGCTACGATGATATGATCAATCTCCTGCTTGAGTGGAATACGGATGTCCAACTGGATCCATTTGCTTTACCTTCCGTGATTCAAGTAGGATACGCAGATTGTGTGCAACAGTTCCTAGACGCCGGCGCGGATATCAACTCCATGGTCTCGGAATCCGGTAGTGCTTTACAGGCAGCCGCATACAACGGAGATGTGTCTTTGGTACGCTTATTAATTGAACGTGGAGCCAATATTGAAAGCGGTTGTTGGAAGCGGTGTAGCGACTTGGAGATTCATGTTGAACACTTCCTCCCTCCCGCACCATCATATCCTGGTGGACAGCCCTCAACTTCCATTGGTTATTCGACTCCTCTTCAGGGAGCAAGTCTTTGTGCACATGTGGAAGTTGTCTCAAATTCTCCTGGAAGCTGGTGCGCGGGTGGAGATTTTAGACGAAAACGGTATATCTCCATTACACTGCGCTTGTAGCAAGGGCAACGAGGAAATTGTCAAGATGCTTCTCAACAACACCTCCAAACTCGATCAACAAAAGCTGTGTACAAGTGCACTTGACACTGCAGTCAAATCAGGAGTAAAGAGCCTCGTGCAGTTGATGTTGGACCATGGGGGCGACCCGAATGTAATAGGGCTAAGTGGTTTGACAGCTTTACAAATTGCGGCTGAGAAGGGTATGCCAGATATAGCAGGCTTACTCTTACAACACGGCGCTGATTCTTTGTTCGTGAGTGAGGAGATTGTGAACCAGAGTGTACTTCGGTGCCCAGCAGCCTCGCCTGCAATCCACCTTGCCGCACAGCAACATCACGTGGATGTAGTCCGGGCAATTCTCGAAAATTCTCAACAAAATGTGGACGTGCGTGATCCGCAACAGCTCACGCTATTGCACACCGCAGCTAAAAATGCTGACAAAGAGATGGTGGATCTCCTACTTCAACATGGGGCGAAAGTGGACGTTGTAGATGGCAACGGAAACAGTCCTTTGAACCTCCTCGTCGACCCTAGACGAGATGACTACTTTGATAGTCATGACGGTGGTGATAGTCATGGGGCAATCTTGAAGTTCTCTAATCAACGGCTAGAGATTGCTGCGGAATTGATTGACAAAGGAGTCTTGTTGTCTTTACGAGACCGCCACGGCCGAACACCCTTGCTACAAGCTTTGACTGTTCATCGGTATCATCACAATAGTCAAACGTATCAAGAAGTCCAATGTGTATCGGAAGCCGATATTCTAGCAATGGTACAACTGCTATGCAGCATGGGCGCCAATCTCAGAGAAGAGACTCCTAGGATGCAAAGCGACACTAGGGCCGATCCTGCAGAACAATATCTTTGGCTTTCAGGGAGAAACAATTCCAACAATAATCAAGAGCAGATTCTAGGCGGTCAGGGCGTCCTTCACCTTGCTACTTCAGCTGGCCGCTGCTCGCTTTTGGAGTGGTTGTTATCACAGAACTCACTTGACATCAATCAACAGGACAACAATGGCAGGACACCGTTGATACTGGCTGCTTCCGAAGGCAAAGAAAATGTGGTTCGTTTCTTATTATCCCACCCGAGTATCAACATCCAGTCACGAGATTTCGGAGGCTTCACAGCTCTGAGCAGGGCCGCAGAGAATCTGGAAGAGCGGGTCATGTTGCTCCTTGAAGAACACGGCGCAGCTCTCATTCCTGAAGAAAATTCTCTCTGCAATTCCGGCTTACATGACCTGGTTCATGGTCTATACAGATCCAACGTCGTTGAAAATGCCGAACGCGCAGTGCGGTGCGTAAAAGTTCTACTCAGATTAAGCGCAAATCCACTTTTGCTCTGTTCCGGGCCGGAGTGTCAGACTGTCGGAGTTTTCTCAAGCTCTGAAGCCAGCAATCAGACTTTACTGCACTGTATTGCAAGACTCGGACGTGTTGACCTTTTAAAAGCGATCATGGATTTGGAGAAAATCGACATAAACGCTCAAGATTCATTTGGCAAGACAGCTATGCACGTTTCGGCATTGAGTTCCAGACCATTTGAACAAATTAAGGCGCTTATTGAGAGAGCAGGTGACCCGGAGCTTTTGGACACTAATGGCCGATCAGTATTGCTGGAGTTACTGGATTCAAACTGTCAAGGCGGATGGGTCTTGCTGCGCCGGAGAGAAAAGGCAATGATATGTCTGCTGGAGCATGGTGCGCACCATGAAGTTAAAACACCGGAAGGTTTTACAGCTCTTCATTTTGCTGCTCGTCATGGTACCTTGAAGATGGTACAGGCCGTGTTAGACCGCCACGTTGATATCAATGCTACGACGACAGGGGGCGAAGAAGACTATCGCGATCCAATTTAGTGGATTTATTCCTAGAGTACAGTATTGCATTTTGCCACTAGAAGACTACATAGAGAGATTGCCAAAATTCTCTTGTCGGCTGGCGCAAACGTCATTGCCAAAGATTCGACGGGATTTACGCCTCTCGCTCTTCTATCTATGGAAATATTATGGACAACCCTTCATAGGGGCCCAGATGATGTGGCCAGCTTCTTGCAACTCCTGATCGACTTCGGAGCTGATTTAAAAGAAGACGGACTAGGTTTAATAGTGAAATTGCGCAGCCGTAGCACAAATATCGATATGATCAACTATTACATTGAGCCAAGCAGGCGGCTATGGTTAGGAAGTTTTGAGTACCAGACACTTTGTCAGGTTTACTCATAACATCGGTGTGCAAAGTAGCAGTGGTGCTGCTAGCAATCTTAAGGTACTTATGATCTACCTGGGTACTTCTGCATTAGCGATCAAAATAGGGGATCAACTCGCTTCCAAAAGTGGAGCTCACACGTGATGATGATCTCATCCTCTCTTCCTGGTCTTCTATCTCATCCACTTGTAGAACAACACCCCTCCACACACCTTGACACACCCAGTACTCATCCAGAATGTCGATCCTAGTCACAGATCTCAAACCTCACTTGGCGCTTGTAACAGGGGCAAGCGGAGGAATTGGAAGAGCAACATGTCTGGCGTTGGCAAACATGGGTTGTTCGATAGCAGTGCATTACCACTCGTCCGAGGACAAAGCAGTCACTCTTGTGAAGGAATTGAAGAGCAAAGGTGTGAGAGCCGAGGCATTTAGAGCGGATTTGACGAAATATGAAGAGGTATTTACCCCGCTATTGCCCGCACTGCTCTGAGACAGTTGATTTCTTTTCCAACAAAAGGCCTTATAATCTACTGTTTTATTTTCGTACACTATTTGGACTTGGGATATCGTTTGACATCTCCCACAGGTTCGCTCACTCCACAAAGCCGTTGTCGACACCCTTGGCCCGCCCACCATTCTCTTCAATAATGCTGGTCTCACCTTGAAGAGTGGCATCAAAGCCATCACCGAGATTAGCATCGATGACTTTGAGCATACATGGCGTGCCAATTGCGGATCAGCATTTCTCATGACCCAGCTTTGCTTGCCAGATATGGAGAAAAAAGGTTGGGGTAGAGTCATCTTCTGCTCGAGTGTTGCTGGATTCAATGGAGGGGTTGTTGGACCTCATTATGCGTAAGCAATCTCAGAGGAGAGAAATTCATTTACTGATAAAACTTAAGGTCTTCGAAGTCTGCTCTTCATGGATTGATTCATTGGCTTGCCGGAGCGTATTCTAAGACAGGTGTTACCGTCAATGGTGTAGCTCCTGCTTTGATTCAGGAGACTACCATGCTGCCTGGGAACAATGAAGAGCTAGCCAAGAGTAGGTGTTGTCTTCTAAACGATATTTCCAACCCTAACAAAAATTAGAAATCCCAATTGGACGCTTGGGATACCCAGAAGAGGTAGCCGAGACTGTTATCTGGATGGTCAAGACTGGTTATGTTACGAACAAAGTCATTGGCGTAGATGGGGGTTTCTTTGTTCAGTAGAATGTCTTGCAAACATTTTCTTACAATGCATCAAACGAATCACATCTCTTCAAAGTGTCTATACAGCAGTTTCGAAACATCTCGCTTGTCTCTGTTTTCATTGTAGAGGAGTGCAAGTTGCACGCATCCCCACTCTTACCCTCACCCTGAGTCGAGCAACGAGATGGAAACTGGAGCTGCATCACACCCTCACCCGACAGTAAGCATCAACTGCACCCGCTCAGCGAAGAACAGGACGATAAATACGACCAAAACGCACTGCTACTCCCGCTCTGAGCATCAACATCCCCACTTGAGTTACCAAACAGAAACTGCTTCATGTATTCATCCAACGGTAGCCGCCCACTAGAGACTAAATCGAGGAATGGGACGAGAACTTTCCACTCTCACTTCACTGAGACTATAAGCTGGCAACCTCAATTTTTTAAAGAAAGCCGAACAGGGAAGTCATCTACTTACCCAACTTCAATTTCGTTCTCGTTAACTATCGCAGGTTTCCTGGGTGTAACAGAGTCGTACCATACTGCTACTAGTATGGAGTCCTCTTATGAAATGCAATGTAGTGTTAGAAAGTAAGTAGAGAATATGTGTGATAAGTGTTGTGTTCTTGCTCTTACTTTCAACAATGAACTTTTTTTGTTGTAAATACTTCGATGCATTTTCTAAGTGAACCCGTAGGCAGAAGGCAGTCCCTATGTAGAATCTTGAAAATGTGCTACCGAAACAACTGATAGATCTTAAGTAGTTCCAGACTTGTCTTGCAAGGTTAGAAAAAGATTTACAGTGAGTATTCCTACTCATTGCCCGAAGTCGTCGTATTGCTGTTATCCCGGCCCGGAAAGTAAAATCGTCCCGAAATTCCGGAGGCTTTCCCGAGGCCAGTCTTAAATCTGACACTTCCAATGAATCTCCAACTCAATCCACTTAAATCTACGTGCTATACCACATCCAACCTCAATCCTAATAATATCATGCTCTCCCATTGGTCTGTACTGCGTCTCGCAGACCTTTCGCCGCCGAGCACGTGACGGCCGAACGTCAATCAACAGCTGAGCTACCTGGAGCAAGACCTCTTCTCATTATATGAATGATCACCAGCCCTTCTTCACTCGAGCTCTTACTCACAAAGACCAACAACCAACATGGCATCTCAAACACCACTCCCCACCACCATGCGAGCCTGGGGACACAACTTAGCCGGCCTCCCAAACCAAGTTCTCCATCCGACTCCCAACATCCCAATTCCATCCCTCCAACCCACCGAACTTCTCATAAAAGTCTCTTACGCAGCCTTAAACCCCGGTGGGCCTGCTATAATGAACCTCGGTCCCATGATCTTCCGCACCAAGCCCTCCATCCCAGAAATGGACTTCGCAGGCACGATCCTCTCCCTCGGCCCCTCCGTCCAAAACTTTGTCATCGGAGACAGAGTATTTGGAAATATTTCCATAGGTTTGCATTTTAATAAGGGAAGAGGAGCGTTGGCGGAATACGTCGTTGTCCCGTTTGATCGCGTGGTTGAGATTCCGGTTAGCATGAAGGATGAAGAGGCAGCAGGATTGGGGATCGTGGGGTGTTCAGCTTTGGCATTGATTGATCGGGCGGGACCTGGAGAGGGAGATCGAGTTCTAGTCAATGGAGCGAGTGGCGGGATTGGGACGTTGCTTGTGCAGATGTTGAAGGATGTTGTTGGGGAGAAAGGGAAGGTTGTTGCATTGTGTTCGGGGAGCAATGTCGAGATTGTTAAAGGGTTGGGTGCTGATGAAGTAAGTATTGACAAACAGAAGAAGATGAGAATTTGAAAATCCCTAACGCGACCAGGTTATTGATTACCGAAAGCATCATCCAGTAGAGAAGTACCTAGCCGAGCGATTTAGCAAGGACCAATTCGACTGTATCATCGACGCATACGGGAGTCAAGATCTCTGGCTTCACTGCGCTTTTTACCTCAAACCAGGGAAACCATTCATTCCTATTGCTTTAAGCGTCCCTTCCTACGGATGGTCGAGTTTTCTCTGGATGGTCGGCACAATTATGAGTAACACCTGGAAACCAAAATTTCTCGGAGGGGTTGACAGACCTTATGCTCAAACGAATGGGATTGCGGACCCGATGAACATGCAACGGCTTGCACGTATGGTGGAGGAGAAGAAGTTGAAGATTTTGATTGATTCAATTTGGAGCTTTGATGATGTTTTGAAGGTAAGTGGAATCGTCCCTATTGCGAATCTTGGATTAATGAATATAGGCATATGAAAAAATGATGACCAAACATGCACGGGGGAAGGTAGTCATCCGTATGGATCGTGCAGAGTCTCGAGTTTACAGCTAAACGCAATGTTCGGGTGCAATAGCCGCCGAATTCAGCGGGTTTGGTCGCTGTTTTATGCGACGATTTCAGGCGACTCGCTTCGTCTACCACCGAGCAAGTTCCATGACACAACAATGGCGAAGATAGCAAAGGCTTCAATGTAATTGTAGTCCATTGGAGACAGAGTCTAATGCAAGCAGGATGATCATGGAGCGGCCTTGCGTCAGCTATGCTGTTCTCAGTCCTTGACCGTAGCTAAAACATTATTACTTTGGATAGTTATTCCGGTATCCACTTGATCACCCACTCTATCCTCCCACCATTGATCGTTGCAAAGCAATTCCACCGACGGGCGTGAATCTGGATTCACCTGGAGCATTCGTCTGATCAGCGAGAAGCAGGCCCGTGCGGTATCGATGTCCTGCTGGAAAGCCTTGCATCGACTTAGACACTTTTCCCAGTATTGATCAGCTAATGCGCAAGAAGTGGATTGCGTGGAATCAAGTGTCGTCAGCTGCCAAGAATCCGGCAATGGACCAATCCTTTCGATGACGTCCTCAAGCATAGCCTTCTGTCTACTATACGACTCGAATAACACAGAACCTGGGCAAACTATTTCGAATATCTACTTGTACGTTAGCGCATCAGTAATTGAAGGAGAGAAAGGTTTCAAGCATACAGTGCATGCTGCAGACCAAATGTCGCTCTGAATCCCTCCGCACTTAATAACGGCTGGGCTCAGTTTTGAAGCAAAGATTTCGGGGGCTTGAACACGAGGAAATGTCGCGGGTAAAGGTGAAGGTGGAAGTCCTCGATACGCTATAGAAGTAAGCAGAGTTCACGTAGTGTCCTGAGAAAGCTGGGAAATTGATAGATACGTACAATTACTGAAATCGATGATCTGCAATTTTACCTCCGCCGACCGAAGTGTATCAGAGTTAATCACATTTCGAACGTAATCCTCGAATATGCCATTTGAGACCAAATACTTGGGCATGCGCTTGAACCTATCCTGCTCTTGAAACCCAATGCGAGATTTGAGGCCTTGGGAACATTGCTCAGGACCGGTACAAGCTCTGGCAGCCGAGTGTGTTTAGAAGGTCTTCAATTGTCCTGGTGGGGTCGATCGGAATTCGAATAGCTAGGTTGCCCTCGTAGAGATCTGTACGGACATAATGTTAGTTGTAAAATGCAATTAAATTTGCGCCTGATTAGCTATACCTCCATGTGTGATACCTTGATTGTGGAGAAAAGCAAGGCCTTGTATCAGCTGGCTGGCTACACGCTTGCTTCGAAGATAGCAATTTCTCCCTTGTCCGCAAGTCAAGCTGGCGGATAGGTATAAGGACATCGGTGACAACAACGTTATGGGTGGGATAAGGGTCTCCGACCTTGAAGTCGTCGAGCATCTGCAGAGTATATTGATGTCCAGGATGATCGTGTTTGTGTTCCCGGATCCACCGATGAATTTCAACTTCGCTATCTCCGTGTGAGCCAGCCGTCAGGAATTTCAGAGCGACATGGCGACTAAAGCGCGTTAGCATTGGTTCAGAATGCAGCGCCCGACAAACTGGCTTGCAAGTGGTATATCTTACTCGTCATGATCGAGGTCTCGAGCAAGCCAGACCGTAGAGTAGGATCCGTGACCAATTTTCAACAAAATCTGGTAGCTGGAGCTCGATGACTTGAAGATGTCCCCGAGATGGACGGGGAAAAGGGAGCCATCTGCATAGGCGCCAAGATCCTCCACATCCATAGGAGCAGGGTAATAAAAGAAGGGACAGACATATTCATTGTCGTCGGACGTCGCACTTGGATATGGTTTTGCTGATGCTGCCGAGAGCGAAGTCAAAGTCGATGCCATGATGCCGGCGCTGCGGGAACATCCTTGCATGTCTAAAAGAGGAGGAGTTGGGGAGAACAGTTTCCTAGGTAGGTCAATTTGTGATCGCCAAAAGCGGCGGGTGCCAACCCCGAAGCGAATGCGCTAAACTCAAAGAGGCAGCGCACCTAAACATAACCGGTAGAAATTCCATACCCATAATGTTGGTCATGTTCAGGGTCTTTAGCAGCCCAAAGAATACCTCACTCGAGCTTCGCCATTCGTGACCAAAATTTGAGGCGTTAATTACTTCATTGCTACTAAGTAGAGCCTAGCTCCTTTGCTACATACAGATTCGGGGCATCTTATCCCAAAATCACAACCTCGTCCGAACCCCAACCCTCCACCCCAAACAGCCCAAGTCGCAACCTTGACCCTACCAGCAGATACCGAAACAAAAGGTCTCGCTATGCCCAAAGTGTCGAATCAGGTCTTCCGATATGTAGTTCTTGATGTCTGGTACTCATCGAACCACGAACTACCGCCAGTCACCGTCTCTTCCCACACGGAAACCTCGTCTTCAACCTCAATTCTCATGCCTTGGTAGTCACCGTAATCTTCTTCATCATCTGAGATCTCTCCAATCTCCTCGATGACAAATGACGTGCCCGTAGCTGGGCCAAAGCCGTAAGGAAACCATTTAGCAGCAGCAGCCTTTCGTGCTTGCTTCGCAGCCGCAACCTCAGCAGGTGCAACGTAAGTCGATTTCAAAAGTCTATCAGAAGCACTTTTTGTCTGGCGCCATTGCCGAGACCATCTATTAGGATCAACTGGAACCTTTGCCAGTTCTGCCTTTGCGAACTCCACACCAAAATCGAAATGGATGACATAGCAAGGAATGACCTGTGCGGCATTGAATACGACATACTCCTGCTCATTCGGAGAAACATGAGAATGCGCAATCTCAGTGGAGATCTCAGTCGTTCGCCAAGTTTCTTCTCTGGTGACTGCTACTGGAAGGCCCATGAGAACAGCGCAAACAATCAACCGTAATCCAGGCAGATCATTGCAGGAAGTCTTATGGCCAAACCCAGAGTCGGAACCACCTGCGTACATCAAAGCATACTCGGCACTAGGGGAGGTATAGACTCCGATACCAAACGATGCTCCACAAGCAACATCTATCTGTGTGTCTCCTGCTTTGTCGCCTGGCTTCACAAATCCGTATCGAACGATTGATGAAACGTTGTGACGCTGAATTCCATGAAAGGTAACCCTTGGTCTAGACAGTTCTTCAGCTAGATGTTTCTTCTTGTCGAGAGAGCTTCCTCTTGCAATGGCTTTAGAACTGACACACTGACGAAGCCGGTTGTATGGACGCTTCAAGAGATCTTCGTAGATCTCATATTGCCGTCGCTTAAAACGAGTGACTAGATCGGTACGGAATACTGGTTCCACATGGAGAATACGATACTGTTCTGGCAATCTCTCACAGATTTTCTTGATGGACGTTCCAAGCAGATCATCTGCAGTAGTTTCGATTGTATCCAGGTTTGCTCCTTGGGCGTTGCTCGTTATCAGATTTCTGATGTCCCCACTATTGATTGCCGTCAAGTCCCAGCCAATGTCCACGGCTTTCCCAGACGACGCTCCTTTCCATTCTCGAAGTGCTATGTTGGCTTCCTCAACAAGTCGGAGTAATAGTACTGCAAAATCCGTTACTCCATAAAGGTTGTCCAGTTGCGCAGACAACAGATGTCGAAGGCTTCGCCGTAGCGGATCAATATATGTTCGTGGCATCGACCAAGATGTTGCCTTCACTTCCATAGGACCTGAAATATTGTTTAGCACCTCAAGAACCAAGTCGTCGAACTCAAAGGTCCAGCCATTTTCCTCGTCGCAATCCCAACGGTTGATTCGATCAGGGAGATTATGGTCCAGGATATCGTTGAAGTACTGCGCTTCTCTGTGTCTTAGGTCGACGAATGTGCGCGCTTGACCAATCCATACGGGAAGATCTTCGTCTTCGTCATAGTACTGCGCATGAGAAAGATATGGCTCCATGTTTGCCAATTAGGGTATGGCGCCTAGAAGAGGGACTTTGCCCTTTCCGAAAGGGACTCTCTCGATCTGGAGAAAAAGTTGTAAGATCTTCGGCAAGGATGTAGTATAGATATTCTTCTTTGTGAATGTAAGTGGATTCTTAACCAGATTGTGCTCGAAGGAACAAGATTATTCTTCATGGTCGCCAATTGAGTTCGCCGTGAGTCACGCGGCGTCAACCATCGTCACCCGGCGATTATCCCCAACGAAGGCGAATTAGATCAGTTCCATGATTCTAAGATCTGAAGAACAGTAAAATTGAAAAGAAATGAAGCATTATATAGCCTGGTGTAGTAGGATAGAGCTTGCATTCGAAGAAAGCTTGACATCATCGTGCGGATTTCGAGAGACGTAGAAGCCTTCGGAGCTGAACATTGACAAAGCTCATGCTTATACTGAAGTAAACAAAAGACAACATAAGACATAGCCACTGTGAGACATAATTGCATAGACTGAAAAGTTTGTTGTCCCACTTGAGGACTGAGCCGGTTGAGGTCATGACTGACTTGAACATATCGCAAAGTTGCGCCACTTCCATCAAAGTCTAAGGCCGAGAGAGTTCAGGACATAAAGAGCAATTGCAAGACTCGCAAGTGATGCGTCTTCGCAAGTGGACTTGAGGCTGAGAATGTTGTAGGACATTGAGGCAAGGAGGACAGCCATCCCACTTTCCTGCAGTCCTTACCGGGGGCTTTCAACCTTGCGGGATTGCTTGCCGCGGCGAGGCACTATCCGCGAGATGTATCTTCCCCCACAATATCACGGCTCGGCGGGAGATGAGAAAGCAAGGTTGAAGTCTGGAGGTGATTCTGTGGGAAGGACTGTTCACCGCACAAACTCTTTCTAAAATCTAGACGACAATCGAGCCTACCAAAGTCCACTTCTGTCTCGGGACTTGAGCAGTCGCCGCTCTAACCTGAGCCGAGCTCTAAGTCTTGAGCACGGTAGTGAGTTAGCTGGATTATGCTTAGGGGGTTCCCTTTCTAGCTCCCTCGAGAATCGGTTACAATTTCTATGTTGTCTATATGTAGAATTTTGCAAATCCTGTGACCTATAATATAGCCACCTAAGATATCGTAATAGTAGCCGTTCTTTCTCCCCTGTCACACTTGTCGAGGATCCTTGCCGGAGCCGACTTATTAGGTCCCCTTTCTAAGCTGAAATTTACGGCTCGAAGAGGCCTCGCTTGAACCGGCCTCAAACAACCCAACTCATGTACGAGTATGTAACTTCAAAGTCTAAGAGCGACGCGACGTCCGGGCTCCTTGATCTTCTATATTCTACTTTGCAAGACGAGGCATAGTCTTCCCAGGAGCGCAATTTAGTAAGCAAGAGGAATACAACGGTGCTTCTGTTTAATAAGGTATGAATAGGCCACATCTGCACCCCTCCGCAGCTAGAGCAAGCTTAATTTGTAGGACGTATACAGTCAGACGTATCTTAGCGACGGTGCGTTGAGTGAGATCCATTAAGTAGCGAAGCAGGATTCATCAAAGGATTTAGGAGATTCACGCAAATCATAGCAAGGCTGGCACCCAATTTCTACTAGCGAAGGATCAGCTGCTAGGTAAAGAGGGAGATCGTACTGCGGCGTTTGAATATCAATTCCAATACGCTTTACACTTAATACCCGCCTGGTTTTGTGAAATTTTATGACGAAAGTAGTCTACCATTCTCAAGGAGGACTGATGCCATGGGTCATAGCAGACGCCGCTCTTTCGCTCGTTAAAGCAACCGTGTCCATCGAGCCCAGCGGTCCACCATTTGAGAACACAGTCCTAAGCGACGGGAGCGCACGTCCATGGAGACTGACAGATTTTACTCACCTACTCTCCCTCTCCACTGAATAGCACCGTGCCATTGAGCACACTGCAAATCCCTAATAATTCATCTGGTCTGGCGACGTGCATTGCACAAGCAGAACCGGCCAGACAGTTGGTGAACTTCAAGGGCATCCCGGTACTGTTGGAGACTGGTGAGGCAAGCTATCACGCAGCGTATGATGATTGCACTTATTACTTTTTGGTGCAAGCTGGAGTTCTGACTGAGCGGTTGAAATTGGCTGATGTTGGGATACATGGTAATGTCACCAGCAGTGCATGGAGAAGAATAGTGATGAGATCGCTACTGTGCTCGAGGCTTGGATTAAGAAGACTGTTGTGGTTAAGGCTTGGAATGAGAAGATCGTTGGCTAAGTAAAAGTAATAGTTACGGCTTTGGTCTAATGACAAGAATCCTCTTTGTGATCGAAGTCCTCTCTACTGTGTTCCTGCTTTCGCGGAAGTAACGTTCTGTCCAAGCTGCAACACAAAAACTCGATCAAGCGCCAAAATGACAAGCTTATCTCCAGTAATCGAAAAATTCGCCATGGGCGGTAACCCGACTCCAGTGACCAACGCTTCTCTATTGAAAACTCCCAGAACCTTGCCACTAGGACTTCTCACTGTGATACCCTCCCACTCCCCAGTCCAAATTCGACCAAAGTCATCGATATGCAGCCCATCAGCATAACTCGGCACCATTGCTACCAGCCTCTTTTCAATTGGAACACAATCTTCATCTAGTGTGAAGCGGTAAACAACAGACGAGTTGAATTGATTTCCTTGTGATCCAGTGGGCGCAAAAGGGGCTGCTAAACCAGTAACATAAAGATACCGACCGGTCGCATCTCTCCTCACTCCATTCGGAGATACAATATCAGAGCGAGAGATGGCACCTTGCACGGTCCGAGTTTTCGGGGAATAGCGATAGACCCAATCTTGTAGCATCAAGGGAGCAGCGCCATAGACTCCAAACAGGCGAACATCCAGGGTGGAGAAGAAGAGATTAGGACCAGTGTCGACACATGATTCGCTTCCCTGTTTGACCCAAGTTAAATCATCCACAGATTGGTATTTCTCGCCATAGAAGCTATTGATGATAGGTGTGGCTTTGTATGTTTCTGTGTTGATGGCATATACGCCATTGGGTACTGATTCATTGCCTACTGTTGTGAAGTACATAGTTCCGTTGAAGTAATAGCCACCGTTCGGATTGATGTTGTATAGAGCCGGAATGTCCAGCGTAGTGATATCGTTGGTGTTGAGGTCAAGAATGGAAATGTATGTTGGGTGAGATATCACACAGCTCGAGAACCAGACCTGGTTTTTATCGTAATCCCAAGCACCTGCCTCGTAGGCAAAGAGGTCCTTTCGGGTTTCGATGAGTTGAATGTTAGGTGTCTTCGTGCCGAGGATGTCGTAGAACTCTTCGTCGAAAGCATAGTAAGTGTCATTGATAGCCGAATCGAGGAGAGCATTTGTGGATGCATTCGCTGTGACGGTATTGATGAAGTTTGTGCTGCCGTTTGTGGGCACAGTTTCGTCTCCTTGAAATGGTGATGGGAGTAGGAAGGAATCGGTAGATGGAATGAAGACTCCATGAGCTATTTCACTCAACGCAGGTACCACGAGGTTGAGGAGAAGCAATTTGGAGGCCATCATCTTGAAGATGCTGGTGTGCAAGGGCATTGGATGTGAATAGATTGCAAAAATGCAACAGCAGGCTTTGCCATAATTTATATCAAACTCATCACCTCAAAGCAGATGGCGCTGGAACTTGCAGGCAATTGTCGTCGGACTCAGACTATGACACAGAAACGACCCACTACCAAGATTAATCATCAAGCGCAACTCGAATCTCATAGCTGAAAGGATTGTCAGAAACAAGTACTTCCACATAACTTGCTGGGTTGATCGTAAATTCATGGCAAGTGTTATTGATTCGATAAGTGGGAAGGCACACTGTTCGGGAAGCGTTCCTGAAGTATTTACGTACAACACTCCATGCTGATTCGGTAAAGCTTCCGCCTTGGAGCGCAGCGACTACTTGTTAAGATTGGGGCTTTTTATAGAACCAACGCTAAGTTCATACCTCGCATGATGATCTGAAAAGGGAAATTTGTAGAATTCCAGCGGAGACTTGATAATTCTACTTGTCAGCGTCCAACCTTCACCATGACGTCGACATCTGTGGCCCTGAAAGCCAGTGATGTTTGCCCACTAGGTAAGTGGCATGAAAAAGTACTCTTTAAGAACCCCTTCATCTCCAAAGGAAATTGTCCAAAGCCTCTGTCACTCATCGATACTTTCAACGATGCAATTCTCCTATCTCATCATTCTCCCGACCCTCCTCTCTTCTGCAACTTCAACATCTCTCGAACGCCAGACAATCGGAAACACCTCCATCGGCCATGGAACTATTACAACAATGACGAATGGTACCATTATTCGAGCAGCCATCAACAACCCACCGGTCAATCTGTGGGACTATAAACTCGCATCTTACTTCTATACCTTCATTGATAGTCTGGCTCAAACTGCAAATACTAGCGATTTTAAAGTCGTCATCCTCTCCTCAGCAAATCCAGATTTCTTTCTTGACCACATCGACATCCACGCTCTTTCGGTCGCTTCTCCAGAACCTGCTCCTGCCAATGGAACCATCACTGGCATTGAATTATTAAAAGTGGAAGAATATTTACAAACGCTGCCCATCATCTTCATTGCAGAGATCAACGGCCGGACCACTGGTGCTGGCAATGAAGTTGCAGTTCAGTGCGACATACGATATGCTGGACCAGGAGCGAAGCTGTCGCAACTTGAAGTTGGTTTTGGGTTGCTGCCTGGTACAGGAGGGCTTCAGTTCTTAGTCAGTCTTGTCGGAAGAGCCAGAGCCTTGGAGTATATTCTATCAGCTCGCAGCGTTGATGCCTTTGAAGCTGCAGCAATAGGATGGGTCAATAGAGCATTTGAGAGTGAGGAGAAGTTAAAGGCAGCGACGACAGAGCTGGCCGAGCGCATTGCAGCCTTCCCGAAGCAAGGTCTAGCTGCTATCAAGTCGCGAGTTAACGTTCAGAAGCCCACCGAGCAAGAAATTTTTGGGAGACAATAGTCTTTTCACAACGTTAGAGAAAACCCAGATTGTGCAGCAGTCTTAGAACAAGTACTTGGTGTTGTCTGGAAACGAGAGTAACACTGACTTTGAAATAAACATACCGGAGGATATTCCGCAAGTACTGGAATGATTTCAGATGTAGACGACCAATATCATCATAGACACTTACCCATGTTACCTTTTCCAGATGCACACTTGACGTTCCAGACTTTGAGCTCGACCTGGAATCCTAGCCTAATTTTTCTTTTTCCGTTACCAGAAATCTTGCGCTACAGGGGTAACCTTCCCTTGCACCCACCTCAAAACCTCGCTCGCATTAAACAAAAGCACTCAGCTGGCTCGAAAGAGACTTGGCACAAGATAGATATAACTCGTGTATTCATGTCCCAGTAATACATGGAAGATACGACTTCAAGTCATGCACCCAAACTATCTGGCTCTGCCACAACCAAATCCTCGAAACTCATAGCCCTTGTCATGTCCCTTTTAACTCTCGAACATAAACCCAGCATGCAAATCCCGATGCCTGGCAGCCGCAGAAGTCGTCGAGTTGGTAAGCAAACTGGCAGCCTTGCTAAGCGACGCCGAAGTAGCCGATACCTGATCGAGATTGATCGGGGATGCTTGCTTAGTCCATCCCAATTCAACAGGAAGGCGCTCGTTTTCTATCACAGAAATCCATTAGCCTCTATCCACTTCCATTTCTGGTCATGCACTTACCAAAGAAATATGTGACCAAAGTCTTATTCACTGTCCCGGCAGGAATATCCCCAAAGATCAAAATCGGCGCACCCATTTCTCCCAGACTGAACGCTTCGGTTGTTGAAGTAAAAGTGTAATTGGGATTGAAGGCCTTGGAAGCGAGTTGACGTGCCATCTTTCCGTTTGCGAGCATAGTTACGTCAAGAATATCTCCAGTCCAGAAGGCGGTTGTGGTGTCGAAGATGGTTTGGTTGAGGACGTGGTTGTTGCCGAAGAAGGCGTCGGAGCGGGAGATACTGGCATCGTGCTCAAGGACGTTGTGGCGGTTGAGGTTGTCGCTGGAGAAGGGGAATCAGTACTGAGGAAGGGAGGTTATGGTGGGGTGGCTTACAGGGTGAAGAATGTGGCATTGGGCTCGGGGTTGGCGATAATAGCTTGCTGCCACATAAGGGTAGCGACGGATTCATTGAAGTTGAGAGCTGTGGTTAAAGCATAGACTGCATTCTCCAATGTGATGTTTCCGCCGTCGTGAGGGAGGAAGCCATGGTTTGCGAGGGTGTTCATCATCGGGCAAGGTCCTCGAACTATGTAGAATTAGACATTTGAAGAGGCGGTATTTAATGTTGTACGTTACTCACAATCATCTGGTCCGCCAGGGGCCCATTCGTCGAGAGAGCCTCTTCCATAATTAGGGTTGGCAGAAACCAAGGTAGCCGCCAGGGTAGTAGAAATGGCGGAAAGCTTCATGGTGATTTATATGTAGTCTGGTACTTGAAAGTCTGATGTAAGTGAAAGTCTGGCTATTCAAGAATGCTTGGTATTGCCGTGTTGAGAAGAGTTTGGCTGACCTGCAAGACAACCTACTTATACCAATTGGCAACCTAAGCCGCCTTGTCCGGCAGTTATAGATGTCCCTGCATCATATTACTTGCATGTAGCTGCACTCAACCTATCCCTTCATCATCCGAATTCCTCGTTTGCAAAAGAGATCGACACGAAGAACGAAAGTGGAGACCAGCAGAACAACTAATTCTCCGCATCCGGCACATCGCTTTCCCTGCCGGCATTGCACAAAAGTCGTAGCCAATCGAAAATCAGACATTACTTACAACCCCGCAAAATTTCATCTCATATCCTCCACTTAAACTTTGTTGTGAAACAAAACACAGCCACTAATTGAGATCGGATTGACAACCTGCAGAGCGAAAGCGAGCTCGAGCCGACGTACTTCGGATAAGAAGCGAGTACGAGCCCCTGACGAGTTAGGTACCCCACCATGACGATCATGTGGCCGACCATTGGCTCAGCGTTGCTGTCGTCAACATGCCAAGATTGTTCGAAAAGGGGAGTTAGGCAGGGGTGAATTGATGAGCGGGGATTTATTGTTCGGTTTTTGCGCACCGAATGAGTGCTGGAATTTGCGAGCCTTGAGTAATGAACCACTCCCCTTTGATCCGGAACCAGGGAAGCTAAGTTCAACTACCAGAATTAAAGTGCATGGTTAGTATGATCATCATGCTTCGAATCCTAACCTGAAAGCAGCTATCTTCACTTACTTCTATGTGCAAGAATGGCAAGAATAAATCTTGGACGGAAACGTAACTCTTGACATTAAGACATGACCCGAATCACTGACAACAACGAAATCAACCAAGAAGAACAATTGCCTTTGTAGATATCATGGCTTCAACCCACGTAGCTTTTCAAGATAGTTTGCGGTGATTGTTTCACCTCCGGCTTAGCTGCCCCTTGATAGCTTCGGGTGGCGAATAGGATGTCTTGCTCAGTTACCAGGTTGGACAATGAGCTCTATTTATGCTACAGTACTCCCTTTCTGCTCGAATCCATTCGCATCGAAGCAAGCCAAGCTTGACTGTCTATCTCTTCTACGCGATATGACTCACAATATTGAATGATTACAAGAGACTTCAACTGCTTTCTTCAACGTCAAAGGTGGATGAGGCTCCATCGTGCTTTCAAACGGAGCACTTCCGCGAGAAGATAGTATCAAAAGTGGACCACTCAACTAATGGGCTGAATGAAAGGTAAGGACTAACGATGATTTCAAAGTAATATTGTAACGACGACATCAAGAAGTTGGCAGCAAGAATACCAAAATGCTAACTAGCTTCTCCTCATTACGAAAAAGAAAACATTACCGCTGTACGGCATAGGAGCAGGTAAGGATTGATGGACAGTGCAAAGATCCATAGCGTCAGGTTGCTTGGTATCCATGAATAGGAGTGATTTGAGAAAAGTTGAGGCGAGGGTCAGCTCACTTAAGTAGTCCTAAAATCGCCGTCAAGTTGGCAGGGAGGGACGACCTGCTGCACAAATTTGCTTTGCAAACTCCAACATACTACTAGTTTACATTCACCAATGTATTATCAGCCTTCGCAGGAATCGCATTTCAGAGAGTGAATATGATGCTTCTTTTGCTGAGCTCATCAATCCTCACGCGAAGGAAAATGCCATATAAAGTCCTTCTGTGACCACAATAAAAAGGGGTCCTCACGCTCGCCTGTCAAAGACAAGACTGCTGGAGCCATACTCTTTCGGCTGCCAGAGCTTCGGGAGTGGCATTTGCGCAGGAGGTCAACTTGAAATAAGAGTGCGAAAAGTCTGACAGCAACGACCTGAGTCTGAATTGATGGAAAGTGTTGATAGTATGATATGAGATGACAACAGCCACTTCGATAAGCGAATGTTGGAAGAGCCTTTGGGAGTGAAATGGAAGAATTAAAATGAAGCTTGAGGCAGTATTGACACACTTTGCAATGAACATTTGGAAAGCAGTTTATACAACATAACTAAATTCGGGTATCATAAGACCGCACATTGCCACTTGGCTCCCTGACGCCTCAGCCATGAACTTCAGATATATAACATACAGATCAGAGCTGTTGCTTGGCAATCACCTAAAGCCCTGTGCCTATTTTGGCAAATCACAACACTCGGGATACAGACCTAAACTCCCTGCCAAAACTCCAATCGCTCAGCATTTCCGCCAAGACGGAGTATTTACTGATGAAAGAACGGCTCAGCCATCGCAGACCAGGGAAACCAGCCGGAGCAGCCCACACACCATTCGTTCGCCTGCATGAAGGTCGAGCTGTTACATTCCGAGCTGTGAAAACGGCAGCGGCAGACTTTGCCAAAAGGCTCGGACTTGCTGTAGAAGGTTGGATCCTGCTCAGTGAAGTTGGTGGTGTCGGATGAAGACGTGCTGGTGGCGCCGATGGTAGTGTGCGTTTGGCTCGCTGAGGCGGGTGTTGGACTGAGGAATGCTGGGTATCCACCAATATCTTCCACAGAATATTGAGGAGTAGTAGTGCGAGCCAGAGGTGGAACATGTGCATTAAGCGATGGTTCTTCTGGCAGAAAGAGAGGATTGAAAGGAGGATTAAGAGTGTTGAAGGAGAAAGCACTAGCCAATGTCTCAGAACTTGACGAGTCCGTCGAGGCAGCATCCGATCGCCTTGGTAGAGATACTGTTCCTTCACCACTGTATGCATCATCATTCTGCTCATTCAATGGTCGTGTCTCGGTCTCTGGTTCAGGTGTCAAAGGATTGATCGAAGCCGAGTTTCTACTACTTGAGGACATTAGATTCGAAACCATTTGACGCAGTTCTTGCCTTTTCGTATTCTGATGTCGATCCAGGAGTTCTTGAAATTGGGATGATAGGGTTTGAGTACTTCGCTCCCGAATTCGTTCGGCTTCTTTCATAGCTTTTGAAAGGATCTTGTTGTATGCATTATGCGCAATGCGGTCCTCCCAAAGTGGCCCAGGAATAAATGTGTTCGGATTAGCTTTTCGAAAGCCATCGTGTAGCTTGTCGAAGAGGCGCCACCACTTCTCGCATTCTGTTCCTCCTTTGTCGATTTTCAACAGACTAGAATCAAACTTGTGGACTTTTATTAGATGATCTTGCTTCAGCCTGTCTACTGAGGGCCATGCTCCGAAGAAGCAGTTGGGACATGCTGGATCATTGCCTGCAGCAAATTCAGTGCAGATCAGGTACCGACTGTACTGGTCCGCGTTTTTCTTCCGGCGCTTGGAGGTGTCGTCTTTGCTTGGCTCTTCCTCGTTTGTCTCATCACCATACTCCGATTGATCTCCAAGTCGACGTTTTCCGCCACTTCTGGCATGCTGAGAAGACGAAAGAGGCTTTTTTCTGCTAGGAGCACCATTTTGGGTTGAGGATGACACTCCAGACTGAGCCTGCCTCACATGACTCACGCTCACCTTGTCCAAACGAGTGCAGATATCATTAACCAATTGCTCGACTACTCTTAGTTCTCCATTTTGGTCGAGCGAGGGAACGTTCAGCCAGGTACCAACACCCTTGTGCCACTCGTTACCTGGCATATTTGTATGCCAACTTGAGAATATCTTATGAGCTAGACGAGCACAGTTGGTACCCCGTCCTTCTGGCAGGATGTTCTCCCATGGCTGTGTAGGATAAGTACACCACCAAGTATGCGCCGACCGCTTGACCAGGTGCAACAGAGGCTCGCGATTGGTGCGTGCGGTTGTTTGGAAGGTGCGGACAATAGCTAACGGCGTTGTCGGAACCGCAAAGCTGGGTGGGAGAATTTTCACGAACAATGCCCAGATTAAACTTTCTGGCATGTTAAGATGGATAAGTTTTTGTCTGGTGGGTCTGGTCGCGGTAACAGTTCTAGGCGCTTCACTAAAGCGAATGGTGAGTATGGCTTCGAAATGCAGTCGACCAGATTTTAGATTACCGTATATGAACCTCAACCACATCCATGTTCCCCATAACCATACTTTGAACCGTGTCGGAGAGTTCCAGCTCTTCACCATCGTGATATAAAGTAATTGTCGTGTTGTCCGGTATATCGTTGCCTCTTCTGAAAGCATCCAGCATGATTTCAACTTTAGTAGATAGCTCGACTGCAAGTTCGAAATCGGGTAGATCTTTAGACTTGAAGATGAGCGTCATTCCTGCAGCCCCTTGTCTCTGCTCTTTAAGACCACGGCTATCAAGCAGACCCAGACTCCTCTTCTCTGGTATCTTTTGTGTGCTGAGCCTTGACTGCAGCTCACGCAATGACTCCTCTAATTGCCCCAGAGATGAGGTAGCTGTCATTTTACTGACAACGTCATTCCGGCGGGGGCCTTTGAACCCTCGACGACTTCGCACATAAACGCATTCAAAGCTGTTGGAAGAGCATCTCGAACATGGATTCAAGCCATCGCACTTGAGATGCTTGGATCGACACTGGACACATGCGGAGCGCATAGTGGCCCCTTCTCGGTTCTGGTCGGTTCCAATATCCTGAACCTTTCGTAGCTCCTCGCCTTTATTGGCAATGAGAGTGGAATATTTGCCAGTGAAGATTTTAAAGTTCATCCCAGAGCTGAGTAGACGCTGGCCCATTTCCTCCCCATGTGAACGGAAGTGAAGCGAGTTTTTGGTCTCGATTGGCGATCTTTTGGACCGCGAGAAAAGATTTTGATCGAAAGCAGGGTGTCGTTGAGCTTGGGAGCCGGATGTGCCCCTCTCTGGACTCTCGGAACGTCTCTCGTAATGTGGAATTGGTAGAGAAGAGATCCCAGGTAGATCTAGAGGGTTGCCATATTCCATCTTTGGCCATCTCATGGGTGGTTGATCGTAGAAAGTTGCATCGAGGCTTCTAGCGTAAGGGCTAGCGGACGAAACCATGATACTATGGCTCAATTGTGGGGTGCTCATCATCATAGTGTCGTGTCCAACGAAGTCTGGGTGGTCCTCCATTTTGATGCGTGGAGTGGAGGAGTGGATGGAACCAGCTTGAGTGAAGCTCTTAGAAACTGGGGAAATGAGCCGGTTTTTGGAGGTATTTCCGAAATAGTTGGAACGCTTCGGTGAAGCACAGGTGGAATCATTCCGTACCACATCATCTGTATAGTTTTCAAGAGGTTCGTCCGTGGTGGGATCTTCAATACGGGGTGAAGAGAAGTCGTCTAGTGATTTGCTCCCCCTCCTCCCCATTCTCGTATCCCTCCTGGTTTTGACTTGAACACCTTGTTCGGACAATGTTTTGGTCAATGTCGTACTTTCTGATATGCCAGGAAAGTCTTTGGCGTTGAACACAGTAAACACAGCGGAATTGAGCTCAATCCGCCAAATGAAATCATCTTGTGGACTTGCTGCATTCTTGTAATCTGCTCTTTCCGAACTCTTCATGTCGACGTCATACAATGTAGTATTGCTATCTTCCAGGCATCTCTCATAGAGATTGAATGAAAATTTGAAGTTTCCCTCATTCTTGACAGAAAGGTCAGAAAAAACGAAGTAGATTGCTTGTATTGGACGATCTAAGTAGGTACCTGTAGTGACAGGACAGCCTGCAAGTACTGCTATCTCAGAAGTGCCTCGATTGTGCGTCGCTTTCGTATAAGATCGCACAGGCACTGTAGATGTGTCGGCTTCGAGCGTTGCATGCATGAAAAATGTGCCAATGTAGGAGGAAGTAATATCGACTTGTTGGTCGCCTCGACGTTCGAGAATGCTCAGGACGACAACAGGAGGAGGATCTACCGGATGTCGATCGGTCGCCAGTTTTATGCCAGAGCCACAAGCTCGAGCTCTGTCAGGTTCTTGGGCGACGTTCAGAACATAAGTCAAAGTCTTATTACCAACAACTCGAGTCAAGTGCGTCTTGTGTTTGAGAAGCTCATCAACATCAGAAGAGGGGTTATGTGATTTGTCGCCCGGGACGGATAGCATTTCCTCTGTCCGAGGGGTCTTATCCATGCTCCACTCTCGGATCTTCTTCTTCCATTCTCGCAGACTGAAGCCGATGCGAGTTAGTACCGTCCTTCTTTGTTTGGCAGTGGGTGAAAAGGGTGACTAAAGCATGAAGAGGCCGCGACTGACCTTGCTCAAAGTCCATATTTCTGCTCGAAAGTAATCAATGTGTCCGTAAGCGTATGATCTTCTTCAATGTAAAACTGATAGATCTCTTCTTTATACACATTCCATTGCTGGTAGTTCTTTGACAGGGTGGAATGCTTCTTGTCTTCACCTTCATCTGCATTCCACTTGCTCAACTCTTCTCTAGTAACCCCTGACCCAAGGTTACCATTAATTTGAAACCCTTTCGCTACTGGTGGAATCTTATGCGTATGATATCCGGAACTTCCATAATTGCCGTTGAATTGAGAACTATTGCCTTTAAAAGTCAATTCGGCGTATGCATCATTTGTGTGTATACTGGCTCCAAGTTTACCGTTCCATTGAACAGCCGATTTCGCGCCAGAATAGGAGTGGCCTGCAGCTTGCATAGGCTGGGGTTGATAAAGGCCTGATTGTCCACTGAGGGTCGGACTTTGGCTAAAAATAGTCTTGACACTTGCTGTATGGTCAGGCGTAGGGAGCCGAAATGGAGGAGGACTGGAGGTTGCAGAGCGTCGAGCCTTCAGATTCTGCGCGGTCTCCATCATGAACTGTAGCGAAGTCCAAGATGCTTGTCGAATTGGAACGAATGAGCCGAGACTCGAGAGCCACAAGGAGTTGAGGGCGAGAGAACTTGTGTGGTTGAAGCTCGAGGGACGTTGCGAGCAATGAACGTAAGATCACGGAATAGATAATTGAGGGCAATGATATGAAATATATTCGTCTGTTGTGCAAGAAGTCTGTCCGGATGTATCTCTATCTCGACATCGTCCGTGGTAACTGGTTCTGGCAGGGAGTAAGATGTGTAATCTCGGACGAGGCTGTGCCATCCATGGTACTGAGTACTCGGAAAAAAATCTTAATCGCACCGTAGCGAAAGTGATTGCCTAAGTAAGTCGATGCAGAAGCTTCTCGGAGAATGAGTGTACAATGATAAATACATTGTAGACGACCAAGGCTCGGTGAGGGAATTGATGTGGAGGTCCAGGTTAGGCGCTTAGCGCTTCGCTTCCTCCCGCCCTCCCGCGATTCACGAAACTCCTGAGAAGCGTGACCTACACGTGACCCAACTTCGATTTCTCGTGGATGGCCGTTTGGACATGCGGCCTGCCTTGGAATGGTCCATGGAAGTTCGTAGTTCATGGTCAAGGTATTCGAATACTGCTGAGCCTTCAGCCATGAGAACTCATAGCTTCTCTGTCCCGCATCATCAGAAACATGCAATATCGTTTCTCCACGCCCGATTTCTCATGGCTTTACCAACACACGGCTATGTACCAACATGGAATTCCATGAAAACATCAAAGCTACGGATTTTCTGCTAGAAGTATATTTTGACAACGTCAAAGTATATAAGTATCCACATCCACGATGGAAGTCTCCAATCCAACAGCAAAAATCATCTCTTCTTCTCTTCACCAAGATGTCTACCAGCAAGCCGAGCACCTCTCTCGCTTCAAAGATTGATCTTCTAGGTCTTTCTCCAGCAGATATTGTCGCTAGATATGATCTCGCTCTGAATGCCACAAGTACAGATGATGACATCCTTTTGAACGAACCCGACTATGGCAGCACAGCTCAGCACCAAGTCCACTTTTCAGGAGAAACAACCAAGCATGCACTCAATCCATATTCGATGACCGTCCGTGACTCTCACACTGTCACTGCCGCATCCACGAACGCGACCAAACTCCCACTCATTCCATACTGCAAAACTAGTCATGGTCCCTTGGCAGGCATCGACGAACACAACACTATCAAACACCCTCTCAAGTCTTCCATCAGCAGCGTCGATCTGTATTCGAAGACCAGCCATGATACTTACACAATCATAAAGCTCCCTCTCAATGCGACATCCCTCTATTACGTTCCGCAAGGACGAACACAACTCGAGCTCTGGACGCAGGAGTCGGAACATCATGAGGTTATTGCTTACTCTGCAACAAGCTTCGTTCCGAAGGGCAAACCTTGGCTTTGAGAGAAGCGGCTCTGGAGGATTCGTGACGAAGCAAGAAGCAGGGAGTTAATTTTGAATCTGGCGAGAGACACAATAGGATTCAATATACCATGACAATTAAACTACCTGACACTTGACAGCAAAACATCTTGACGAAGCGCAGTGAAAATAAAAACATTTGTGAGAGTTGTTAGAACTGCTTCAACATATACATCTGCTGCAAATCCAAAGCGTACACTTACATTTCTCTCACCCGCTTCGTGTTTCCCGCCGCCACGGACAAGATGCGGGCATTCAAGCCATCCTCTCTGAACTGTCATTGCAATCGTCCTCCGCCTAATCGACCTCAAAGATAGAGAAAGCATCTGGCGACTCTTCGTCTCCTGGTACCCAATCCGGGGCCGCCACTCCCTTTGGTAGCTTCATAGCGCCCACAAGATGATCCTTATAGTCTCTCTTCAACCGCCAGCCCGGCTCCCTGCCTCTGTAGGAATTGAAAGCATTGACGCTAGCATACGTCAAACCCCGAAAGCTCGCAATCATATCAAGCACTAGCTCAACACTGCCACGCTCCTTCTCTTTGCTGACAATCGTGAAAATAAATCTCTTCAGCGCACCCTCTTTCAGATTTTTGATCATTGGAGCCAAGAGCGTCATGAACGGAGTTAGCTCGCACATGCCAACGCCATTCTCCTCCTTCTCGATAGGGAAGATGTCAGACTCTTCGACAAGCGTTAGCCTTAGATTGAGATCCCGCAGCTTCTCAAACAGCCCACGACGCAGAAACGGATCTCGTGGATCCAGCTCCAGATAGCTAATACGGAAAGGGAATTCCGCAAACAAATTAAAATCCCAATTTTCCGGCTTCGCCTCATCGTGTGTGACTCCCCATACCTGGCATTCCCCCCTCTCGATATGGATTCGAAAGGGATTTACCTGCACCAGAACGATAACTGCTTCCTCATATATAGTCTTCGATGTTCGCAGAAGAGATACCCGATTCTTGGATGGAGGGTCGGTTTGGCCATCTTCGCTGGAAAGGTATGCTGTTAGGTCTTGGGATGAAGTGGTCCAATTTTTCTGTGGAGATGGGTAATTGGCCCAGTTGAAATCTAGGACCAAGCCGTAGATTCTGGTTCTGATCTCGGTGGGGAGAACGATGAATGCGCCTGGGAGATTGTCAGCTCTGGAATGGCGGGGGTAATCCGGGGGAGAACAGACCGAGATTAGGAGCTATGGTTGACAGTGAAGCCATTCTGAGTTGTCTTCGTAGTGAAGATAATACGGACTGGATCGATCAAGATGTCTTCAACAACTACGTTTGAGATCTTGGGTTGTTTGACCCTGCGTTTTGAAGTCAATTATGGTGGGGTCTTGGGGAGCACTTCGGAAGCTATGACGGTGATGCAGAACCACACCAATTCTTCAGAATGGGCTCAATCACAGAATCAAGACTGCAACATAACCCGAGGCGCGAGATTGTTTGTGTCGATTTCAAAAGTAACGTGGTTTGGTGTTGAGTGAGCAATGATGTCACTCTGAGCATATGCAGACGCGTTCTGTGACACAAAGACGCGTTTGTACTGAGAAACCTTATTTAAATTCAATTTCAATATTAAGTTTCTTCCTCCTTAAACCCCACCCTTTCCACAATTCCATCCTTCACCACCAGGAATTTTCGGATGCGATCCTCTCGGGGGCACAATTTCACAGTAACAACTGACTGGGAGATTTTCTCCACCAAGCAGACACCATGTCTCAGGCCGCCGGCCGTCCATACCTTGGTATGTGACCAAGATCACGGATGGAGCTTCAAAGCTCCCTGCAAGCCTGCCCTAACACTTCAGCAGGTACACTCTCTACTCTTCCTATCGAACTTCGCGAGCGTATTTATGGTCTCGTCGTGGACCTCAACGAACCTATTCCTGTTGATTCCGACCTTGCCAACCCCTCTGACCCTTACGCCCATCATCCAAACTGCACATGCTCCCGCTCAGTCACCAAGAAGAAATCCCCTCCGAAGCTTGGCCTCCTCCTTGTCTCCAAGGCAATTCACAATGAAACGAGAATCGTTCTCTTCCGCGTCAACGATTGGAATATTGAGGTAGAGGATGATAACGATGGTTCATTTATCAAGTCAGAACCAAATGTCAGCATAATGGGGAGGTCAGGCTGGATGATGCAGTTCTCACACGGCTCTATGCGAAGCAAGTCTGAATTTACTCCTCTGCAGACGGCAGCGTTGGACAGAGACAATATGTGGGCTGAGTTACGGTCCGTTCACGTCAGCGTGGGCGCTCCACGAGCGTACGGAGGTGGTGGAATCCGCGAATATGATATTCTGCCCTGGAAGAGACAAACGAGGCCAGGTCCCGAACGACCATCTTTCGTGCCATTGCTCAAGGTCATTGACAACATCTGTGACCTGTTAGGAAACTGCAGACAATTACACATGTTGAGAATCTCAATACGAAGTATCGAGAAGATTCCGGGCAGCATAGAGTTGGTTCTGCATCCGTTCAGGCAATTGCGTCGCGTCAAGAAGACCAGTGTAGTCTGTATGGGAATTCAAGATGATATGTGGGTTGACTGGAACTTGAAGGGCAGCTATGGAAGATACCTTGATAAGATTCTCGGTATGCCTGATGGAGCCAAGGCACCGAAGTACGTTGGTGATAAGAAGGAGCCAAAGCAGAACGACAAAGAAATATTTGACATGATTGGAGCCAGATGGTGTGGTGGAGACATCGTTGCTTACCCAACTAGAGATGATGGGGATGAGGATGAACCTGATGATGACGATGATGAGCAGGGTTCTATGAATGACGACGAAATGGCCGAATTTGAGGCATTCCTAGACCACATGGGCATGCCAGGTCCCATGATGGGTGCGTTGGGGATAGGCTGGGGCACAGACTCTGAGGAAGAAGATGATGAGGATGATTCAGAAGAAGACTTTTCGGATGAAGATGGCTCAGAGGAAGACGAAGAGGACGAGGATGATTCAGACGATGAAATACCGGCCTTTGTATACGCTGCTCTTGCTGGGTTGGGACCCTTACCTGGATTTGTTGGAGACAGTGAACAGGAGGATACAGATGATGAAATGCCGGAATTGGTTTTGTTCAGTCCTCAAAGCACCGACCCGGCGTCTCATAGAGCTGATGGAGGAGGTGAATGGGAGGATACGGATGATACAGATGATGATATGCCAGAATTGCTACCTTCCAGCATTGAAAAGCCGGCTGAACCAGAGGGGTTTCATGAAATGGTGTCTGAGGATGTGGATTAGATGATCACCAGGCAAGACCAGGCAATCAGCAATGTGGCGCAAGATGGCGTTGGGATGGTGTTAGGTTGTTATGTCAAGTCTGCTGGCGTTTATGGATATCAATATCTGACAGCTTATGCTCGTCTAGCTAAACTGTCATGTCAAAGGCTTTTCGTTGCAGGCCAGAATAGTATTTGCGCAATCAATTACATCGAGAAAGTCCCGGCCAATCTTTCTCGCTCCATCGTGTAAGTACAGCTTGTATCTTATGCATGTTGTCATCTCGAAACTGGTTTCTTTTCAAATCTACCTGTTGTATGGCTTGCTTCATTGCAAACAGCCCATATTCGCCGCCTATCTGATAGAGACTGTGTCATAGTCGCTCTTCGATCTCTGGCAGGGTCTTTCCTTCACCTGGAACAATGAGCAGTCTTTGTTGCACATCGCAATTTACCAACAGGATTGCTGCGGGGATTTGGTCCTTTTGCTATCTCTTGAAGTTTGTCTCTAAAGACAGACAATAGGTTTGTTGCCAAGGACAGACATTGAGCCGTTTTGTTGCACATCGCAATTGACTAAAGCT